CTATTACATTGAGGAATGGTGCTCTGTAAATAAACTTACACTGAATGCATCCAAGTGTAATGTGATATCCTTTTCTTTAAAAAATCTGTCATCTTTTCTGATTATAAGCTCAATAATACCACTCCTCAAAGGTCTCAAACTTTTACTGACTTGGGAGCGACTGATGAAAATCTCATTCGTGCCTCATATCAACAACATTGTAGCAAAAGCTAGTCGTATGTATGGATTTATAGCGAGAAATATTAGGGATTTCAATAACTTACAAACCTTAAAAACTATATTATGCATATGTCAGATCCAATCTTGAATATGCTTTGGTAATATGGAGTCCACACTACCAAGTACATTCTGATAACTTAGAATCGATTCAAGGAAGGTTTCTGAAATTACTTTCTCTAAAATGCGATGGAATTTATAAGGGTATACCTTATGAGGATCTGCTTCAAAGACACAGCTTTCATCACCTATCCATACTATGGTGCTTCATTTTCAGGCAATATATTTTTTTTTCTCTGTACTACCTGATAATCTAAAACTTTATAAAAAATTATGCCGCCGGGTAAAAGGTTCTAAATGCAATAGCGACTTAGCTCATTCAAAAATTCGATTTCCTATTTAAATAACACAGAAAACCCGTGAATAGCTTTTGTTGGGCATGAAATTTGCTACAAAAAGTTTCTTCGAGTAAATTCTCTCCAACAAACAGTTTTTGAGTTATAGAGATAGAAAGATGAATATTAATTATATTTCACATCAAATCTTCTTTATGTTTAAATTTATTAACAATTAGTCAATTATCAACAATCAATGCTAGTCAATGCGATTGAAGAGCCAAACCTTCTGCTTACATCAATGAAGTATAGACGAAGTCAAGAGTAGCGTCACTGTGGTTAGAAATGAAACTAAAAAATTTTAAAATTAACAAAAATTTAAATTTTAACGTAATGATAATTTGATTATATAATGATTAATAATTGAAATTTATATTTATTAAATTAATTTAAAACTAGTTTTTGGAATTAAAAACCCGAATCACATTACGACTCGACTATAGTTTATAATAAGTTATTATTATATGTCAAGATAATAAATTTTAGTTTAAAGAAGATTTGATGTGAAATATAATTGATATTCATCTTTCAAGCTCTATGACTCAAAAACTGTTAGTCGGAGGGGATTGATTCAGAAAAACTTTGTAGCGAATTTTATGCCCTACAAAAGCTATACACGGGTTTCTCCTAAAAAAATTTTTTTTAATAACAAAAAATCAAATTGAAACCAAAAAAAAATGTTTCCTATGTTATTTAAATGAGAAATCGAATTTTTAAATGAGCTAAGTCGCTATTGCATTTAGAACCTTTTACCCGGCGACAAAATTTTTAATTTTTTATAAAGTTTCAGATTTTCAGGTAGCACGGAGAAAAAAAAATATTGCCTGAAAATGAAGCACCCTAATCCATACGCAGGCAGTGTCAATCAGTAATTTTTTTGTACAAGTTAGTTAATAACTTAGTATATGACATTGAATTTGTTACAAAAATCTCATTTAATGTTCCTAGGATTGCATCTCGAAGCAACATTATCTGTCAAACTGTGCGAACCAAAATTTTACAAAACTCACCGTTGTTCAGAATGTGTTCACATTATAATTTAATAAGTACCCAACCTGATTTATTCAACTCATCTGTATTCTCAATAAAAAATGCATTCCTAAATTAATATTCCTACAAATACTATGTGATAAGTAGATAATTTTGTATGTAATTGTAATCTGATATTCCTCACCTTGTAATTGGCTAAAACTGTCGAGTGTTGTAAATAAATAAAATTACTTGGTTTTTTAACCCCGGTCGACACCTGTGTCCCGCTTTTCCCTTTCGTAAATCTGGCAACCCTAATATGTATCGATCATGTCCGGGTTTTGAGAAATGAAAAGGAGGCAACCCTATTTGTAGTGTCAAGAACTCTGGTGAAGATAACTAGTGAAACTGTCGATAACTGGGGTGAAGATTAATAATAAGAGCATCCCAAAAATCATTAATAATATAGAATATAGTAATGACATATATGGATATTATGAAAAACAGTGAATACAAAAAAAAATAAATATAAAAGATAGGGTCAGTTGGGGTAAATGTAAACAGGGGTAAATGTAAACGCACCAAAAAATATGGAAATACAAGTATTATGATTTGAAAAACGGCGCTAAATCTTTGAAGCCATTGCTTCACTTTTCATATCCAGTTAGCTCAGGACGACAACTTAACGTATTTCTGCATTTTCGAGATAATTTTGAGACAGTGCATTTATAGATGCATCTTGGTTTGGTAATGTGGCGACATTTTTTTCTTTTGAATCCGTGTTTTTTGAGGAAAGTATTTTGTAAGGTGCAATAAGAGTTAGGCTTAGTTTAAATTTATGTTTTAAGAATAAATAACTGAACAATTACATTTTCTTACAGGTGTTTACCTTTACCCCAAGGTTCTGTGCTTATGGGGGAAATGTAAACAAGGTTTCGGGGTAAATATAAACAATATTTGGAAGTTAATTTCACTATAAAAACATGAGATTTGACTTACAATAAAGACACTCCAAAAACTCTCGGCCATCAACCTCGTATAAAGTTTTCGAGAATCCTCAGCCATCAGCCTAGTTTGAAGTTTTCGAGAAGCCTCAGCCATCAACATTTTCAAGTAATATTGCCCTTTCCAGTATTTTTATCCCTCATAAAGTCGTGCCCTTAAAACCTGTTAATATACAAGAAAAGTTGGTAATCCCCAGATTAAAACAACATACATATATGGAAGTTTTGACCTCAAATGAAGTGCTGAAACGACTAAGAGATGCAGAGGAGAAAAATAAAACCAAACCTGAAAAATGTAAAAAAACAAGAAACAATCACGGAAAAAACATTAAAAATAAGGAGACAAACCAAAAAAAGAAGAATCGACAAATAATGAAAGTGAGTTAAGTTTCCACGAGAGCGATGAAGATTTCTGGAATGAAACATTTGATAAAGATATACTTAGACATTGAAACGGTAGAGAATATTTCGCTACTATCTGAAGGCAAATTTGTGTTGGTTTGTTTCAAAGGAGGAAAAGAAATGCCACCACATTAAAATATATTTTCGTGGTTCAAGGTATTGATTCAGCAGAACAAAAAAATCACAGGTCAAAGTCCTGGGATTCATTAGTTACCAAGATTTCTCTTTATTTTAGTGATATAATTAGGCCTTTAACCGCTAAATAATAAAAAGAGGTAATCAACAAATTTGTTTGCCGCTGAAGCCATCTAAATAAAGAAACCCCTTATGCAGGGTAAGTAATAATAATCTTGCTGAAGCGCTAAACAGTCATACATGTCTAGTACTAATATATTTTTAAGTCATCTACATAAATAAGTCTACAAAAATTTAAATGGTGATCGAGATCATTAATAAATAACAAAAATAGCAACGATCCAAGGTTTTAACCTTGAGGAACACCTGATTTTGAGAAGAACATTTGTGAAGAATGATCGTTATGAAAAATAAATAACTGGTGAAAGAGTGTGGATTACTGGTATATCCAAAATTACATTAAATCACCATAAGATATTCTACTAGTGTCGATTACTGGTGCTCTTATCTTACCTCAAAAACAACACTTTCAGTGAAAATTAACAATTGCACCTCAAATTCTTTTACAGTTCATCAAGGGGTACTACAAGGTTCTCCCCTCTCCATGCCTTTATAACATTTATTGTCATGATATGCCAGACTTGAACAACCGAATAATTTCTATTTCGCTGACTAAATCTGATTTTGTACATTATTCAGTACGCTGATGATACAACACTGATAGATCATGAAAAAAGCTTAAATACTATCATGATAAATCTACAAAACCTCTGCAATACTAATGCAGAATGGTTTAGAAAATAGAGAACGAAAGCAACTCTACCAAATCACAATTTATTTTATTCAATAAAACTACATACATGTTATACTATTGTATAACCAAAGAATAAACTCTCAGCCAATAGTCAAATATCTTTGAGTTTTGAATGTATCTTGATAGCAAAATAAACTTTATAAACACCTCGCAAATTTGATGAAGAGATGGACAAAATTAAGAGCTTCTTATTTTAGGTCATTAACTTTAAAAAAAAAGAGGAATAAATATTAAAACTGCTTCCATCATAATATATAAATCTATTTGTCGACCTATCTAGCACCTGGAAGCTGGCAAGTCCATTTCACCCCTGCCCAAAAATACCTATGGGATAATTTGTTAACCTTTAATTAGAAATGTATTATGTATTAAATTTTTTTATTAACGTTACAAATCAAAAGTTTTAAACAATAAATGTTCCACAAGGTTTTTTAGGGTCCGGTGCAGGTTCAAATTGAAGCTAGATTATTAGTCTATAACCTTTGATGGGTTTCTAATAAAAGGTTAACAAATTATCCCATAGGTATTTTTGGGCCAGCTTCCAGGTGTTACCTGTCTTGGAATACTGACATTCAATATATTTAAACTCTTAAAACCAAACCGTTTCACTTCCTTAAAGCCATTGAAACTTCTTGTCTAAGAATAATTTCCAAAACCAGCTTTTATATGAGAAATTTAAAATTACATTAATTACCGAAAGACTCAAAAAACTGCCCAAGAAGTTTGCTGAAAGAGAAGAGGGATTGTGGCCACCTACAACGACTTATTTTTTTTTTTATGTATAATGTCAAATCCGTTAGTTTGCTATGATATATAAAAACATTGTTACACAATTACTATATGTACTTTCACGGGCTAAAAGACTTTGTTCGATGGCAATTATTTTGCCCAATAAAAAATATTACTTTATTTAAAAATAAATTGTGTTATTATTAATTTACACAAGATATTGTTTACAATAGTCATACCTACATGTACGTATGCTTAGTGCTTTCATAATGACCCAATGTTGTAAATAGGAAAATATTTAATTAACATAAACTATTTTATTTCAATTTTTTATAGTCGAAGAAATAATACACTATGAAATGGAAGAACCGTTAATTAGAAAAACTGCAAGGCACACAAGTACACAACTTGTAGAGTGCAAATCAAGTCCAAAATTTATTAGTACAGATTTACCTAAAAAACGAGTTTATAAACCTTTAGTAAAAGATTCTTCCTTAAATAAATCATCAGTTGTTCATGATCGACCATCATGTTCACAAGAAGATCCTTTCGATAAGTTAATAAAAAAGCCACAAGGTTTGTGGTTTAACAAAAAAACTTCAAGAATTACATACACAAGAAGGAAAAAGGATAAGCAAGAGGATGAAGAATATAAGATTTTAGACTTTCAAAATAACGATACAAAAAATGCTGTTATCCAATGGTTACATGATAATAGAAATAAATTTAACAGATTAACTCAAACTCAATGCTATGAAGACTTTGAGGAACCTGAAGAAGTTTTTTCCATAGATCTTCCATCTGTATCACAAGTAAACCGTAAAAGTATTAAACATATAGATATTTCATCTAACAAATCAGAGAAACAAAACAAAAACGACTCAAAAATGAAGAAGAATAGCAAATCTAGGGCAAGATCATTGGATCGTGATTTGAATAAATCAAAAAAAAATGCCACTCGCCTTTCTGATTTTGGTCTTGTGGAGAATTATAATATTGAAGAATCTAACACGGAAGACATGTTAAAAAAAGCAGAAGAAAATGTTTTAATAAACATAATTGAAGACCAATATTTGAATAAACTAGAAAATGAACTGCAGAAAAGCAGTGAAAAAATTGAAGCAAATGAACTACCTAAAGCTGAGTTGAGCAACAAAGAAAATGAAAGTCTTACTACTCAAAGTTCAGCATCTGGGTGGAAACGAATTGAGAAAATGTCAAAAACTTTAAACAAAAAGGGGAAGAGCCCAAAAAAGCTCAATATTACGTTACAGTCTTCACAGAATGCAAATCTTGGAAAAGTTTTAAAGGTACATTTAAAAAATGATGATCTCCATGATAAAGGCTCTAAAAATGTTAATTCGGTACCCAAAGATATTGAAATGGAAGATGTAACTGCAAACTTTTCTAAACAGGTAATATTTTTAATTTGTTTTTAGTACACATCTTTAATTTTTTATTTATCCAATTGGTTACCCATTTAAACAAAAGAAAAATAATAATTCTTTATAATAAATGCATATTCAAAAAGTTCTCAAGATACGCTGGTCCCTGTTTGATAACCCCCCATGCATCGTACATAAACAAGGCTAGTAAAATCACTCGGACAAGCCGACAACGAGTTCGTCTCTACACCATCTAAAAACTTGGCAGGTATCTGGCATGCCATGTAGCTCTATTACTGTTCATACGAGAAAAACGGCTAATGCTTGTTTTTCGGGAATTCGTCGGCAAAATAATGTTTAAAGAAGATCAAGGACTTCAGTCAGAGTGAATATAATAATTACAAATGGTTACAAAATTACTAAATATTATTAATTAAAAATGCTACGTTATAAAGTGTATCTTTGAGTTTTTATGTTTTCACCTTGGGAATAAAATGTTGCATTATACTTGCATAAAATTCGAGGAAGTGTTTTAAACACGAAGATTCAAATGCCAGTAAAATAGAAATATAAAAAACTTCTAGGTTATACATCATAGTGTTCCAAATCTTTTATACTTTTTGTGTGGGTACCATTGTAAATACAATTGACGGGGTCTAGGGTTGTGCAAAATTTTACACACTATTCGTATCTACTTATCAAGCCATTTAATAACAGTTTATGAGTTGTTTACATATAGTCATTTATACATTAAATATTAAGGATTAAAATCTGGGGGCAGCGGCCCAGCTTAGCAGGTTCACTTGTGTATTGATATATGCAGTCAAGTCAGGCCCAGCACAGTTAGTAGTTGGATGGGTGACCATTTCAATGAAAGTCTGCGTACGTTCAAACGATTTGCTCGCTTAGTTGCATACCACAGCGGGCAGGCGTAGTTCGAGGTATATCGTGAGGTGAGCCATCTTTTCGGGGACATGTAAAGCCATTGTTCCCGAGTCTATGGATGTTGGGCTCGTTAAAGATCCCTGCTTCTGGTTAGAACACCAGGAGAATCGGCAAAATTTCTGTGAATTGGGTGTAGCGAGATTAAAATCTGAAATTTGAACCCTATTTTTAATTATAATAGAAAATCTAATGTTTATAAAAAATTTAATTATTGTAGGTAGGTATATAGAGACCCACAAAATGTTTCTAAAGTAGGCCTTGTGTATCACTCTTTATATTGATTTGCATTATAATTTATAAAAACAATCGCCTATCCACGTAAAAACAAAATATAGATTGGTTTTTCTTTTACTTTAATGCTGCAAATACAGTGTATTATTGGGTATGATAATTATATGTGCCTAGGATGCCTGTGATGTACTAAGAATGGACGCCGGCCGAACCGTTTATTGTACAGATCTCAGATTTTTTAAACAAAAATGGTCCCTAGAAATTGCGAAATTTTACTCAATTTGACTATCCACTCGTTTATCTACGCTTAAAAGCATTAGGTCAACTAGGGCGAAGTTAGAAATTTGAAAAATAATTTTTAGCGATTCTTCTTGACCGCTTTTAATTTTTTTTCCCCAAAATTCAAAGAAAATTTTTTTCCCAAAATTCAAAGAGTATCCAATAGCAGCCGACCAGCCGGTGTCGTTTCTTATTTGGACACCTATTAAATCTTCTGACCCATTCCTCTCGTCTCTCAGTGGTTGATGTGAAACCCAAAACGCAACATGCTAGTATAATTCGGAAATAATGGACAGTAATGGAATAAAAAAATTAAAAATAAGTTTACTTGTCCTGATGTTTCATAATATAGGTCTTTTCTCAGTTGCACATCCCCAACTAGTCATTGATAAAAGTGTACTTGTTGTGAATGCAAGACCCCAATCATTCCATGTCTAAATCGGAGTAAGAGAACCGATGAAGCTGGCTTAACATGGCAATAGCGCGTCATCGCCTGCTGACCGCATTGAAAACATCCATAGGCGTAAAGGGAAATATTTAATTATTAATTTTCTCAGTATAATTTAAATTTTATAATGATTTCATTATGCAAAGTTATTGAAAAGTACACTTTAAAGCGTCATTTAACTAAATACCTGTTTTAAAAATGAGCATAAATTAAATGTAATATTTTTACAGGCTTCAATATATATCTGTTAAAACTCATTTCACATGTAAAAGTTAGTCTCCACGCGCTGTTATGTTTTTTTTTTATTAGATGACCATAAAATATTTCATGTATATTCTTTTCTAGTTTCCAAATTTTATTTTTAAAAATAATATTTACTCTCTAACTCACTTTATATTTAATTTCCTTGTATTTCATACACATTATTGTATTCAGTTTTAGGAAGGTACAATTTGCACTTTAAGAGGAAACAACCATATTGACTGTTTTGTGATTTGAAACTAGTCAAATATTTTGCCAATTTATATCTTTATTTGATTTTACTTCATTATATTTTTGCATTAATTTCAAATTTGAAATAAAATGCAATTTATTTTATTTTTTTTTTATTACTGTAAATTATCGCCGCATCATATAATTTGTCTATTTAAACATGGAAATACTCAAACAAATATGCATTTACACCATTTAAATAATTAAATTTTTATAAAACAAACCTATCAAAAATGTTTTCTGTAACAAAATTAGCATATATAAGTGCTCAAGACCTTTATAAAAGTTTTGCGACTTCGAGTATCAAATAAGTTTGAAAAAATTGAAGTTGAAGCATCATCCTTTTTTACTATCGAGGCAAATTTGAGTGTGGATAAAATTTGCCATACAGTTATTGAGTCGACTAGTTAGGTTGAGGAGCATTTCTTCATCCGATAATTGTTTTCTTGATTTATTTACACAGCACTTGTAGTTATCAAATTTTTATTCATCATGTGGGCACTGTGATAAATGAATTTAACTTTTGAGCTTAAATTAAACTTACACACGTTTGGACTCTTGAAAGATTTTAGGGTGTTTTCTTGTTTGATGTCAATGGCATTGAATCAATTTTTGATGCTGATGGTTGAGGCTCAAATATTTCATCGATCGACAGGATATTTTGGAGGGCCAACATTTTCTTACAACAATGATCATTTAAAAACTGAAAACAAAAAAAAATAAATAACAAACCAATTATTTTAACACTGAATCAAAAACAAGTTTGTAAATATTACTTACCGTTGGTGCCAAACAGTTATGATGCATTTTTCTTAAGACACTTATTACAAATTATTTGGTTATCCTTTTATATGACGACTGCATATTTAATGTGGTATAAATTGCATCACTACCAATATCTGGGAGTGCTTTATTGTTTGTTGCTGAAATCCATTTTCCCATCGTTTGAAAACATGCTTAAAATTGGAAGGTGTTGAAAAATAAATCTAGATTCTAGATGAATCAAAATTCAATACACCTTCAAATACAATAGCCATTTTAATTTCTCAAAGTTTGAAGTTTTGACGAGCTGACAACTGACATGACATTTCAATACGAGCGCCATCCCGTTAATTGGAGTGGTACTAAATTACCATCCTCATGTTTTTCCATTTGAGTTACCGGCCCCTGGTCTGGACCCTCTTCTAATGTATGTGGTCATACGTCATACGCGCTGGGCGAGGTTTCTAAAAACAGCTGTAACCCACCAAACACAAAATACTTTTATGAATGAAATAAATTTACAACTTGATCTAGAAATACGATCAAAAGTAAATGCGCTGTTGCCAAACTAAAATTTCTTCCGATGATTTAAATTCAAACAGTATTGCAAGCTGATGTATTTACATTACTACTGTTAAAAACACCGTAAAATTGGCATCAATGTTTAATCAGATTATTGTGTTTCTGCCGCGGACGCCAACGTTGAGGCTTCAGAAATTTTGTAAATAATCCTATATATCTATGGACAGTTCACCCTTTTTTTAATATTTAATCGTGTACTAGAAGAACAAACCTATATTTGGAATATTTCTAGGATCTAGAATCAGTACTGGTAAAGTTTCCAATATATCAAATTACCGACCAATCGCATTATTCTGTTTTTTACAAACTTTTCGAAATTATTATATTTTCTGATATAATATATTCCTATGTAAAAAAATCAATTACAGAATACCAACATGGTTTAGTGAATGCGCATCAAAACTGTGTACATTTACACAATACATATCCTAGTTCTTTGGACTGTAGAATAATAAGTAATAATAATAATAATAATATACTTTATCTACTCCTATTAATTTATATATTAATTATTCAACTGCTTTTGAGCAATTAATAGTATCAATAAATTCTTGGAAATTTTAAAGTCGATAAATGTTCCATTGGCGTAAAATGTTAGAAAGATTTTATAACAATTGGAAAGTAATGAATAATAATTATAAGATTTTAAAATTATTAAATTGTCAACGACTCTCAGTAGGTGGAACAGTCAATTATTACATTGAGGGGAGTAATGTCATTTGATATTTTAACAAGATAATTTTGACGTTTTCGAATCAATTTCTAATAATAGTGCTAAAAAAGATGAATTTAGATAGTGAAGATGAGTTATTATGTACAACTCCAGAAATAAGAGAGATAGCTAATAATGCAATACAGAATTTATTACCAGAAAAATCAAAAAACAAGTATAAAGGTGTATACTAAAATTTTCAAGATTGGTGTAACTCGTTTACAGAAAATGAACTTATCAATAAATATAAAGCATCGTCTCTATGGACTTTCTATTCCTTGCTAAGAAGCATAATCAACATAAATAATGGAATTAATATAGAGAATTATTCAAAATTACATGCGTTTCTCAAACGTCAATCAGAAAAACATATAGTTAAAAAGGCAAAAAACATTTACGCCAGAACAACTTAATAATTTCATAAATAAAGCTCCTGATAGAAATATCTGGCGACAAAGGTAATAGCTTTTACAAAAATTCAAAGTTTTTTAACATCTAGTCAATTATATAATTCTTTCTCGATACTTGTTTCTTAGTATTTATTGTTATAGTAGATAAAGTATCGTATTCAACTTGCGGTAATGGTCATAACTCTCTTGATGAATTGCAGCACTCGCCTGCGGCTCGTGCTGCAAACTTCATCTGCGTGAGTTATGACCTGCATTACCGCTCGTTAAATAATATACTATTATTGTCAGAGAGAATACATGATTCCATGAACAAAGTTTAATACTAATGTTATAATAAAATAAATAGATGTTATTGTTCACATTGCTAAAAAATATTAAAATTTGATTACAATTAATTATTAAAAAATATAATTGAACCTTTAGAAAAAAATATACTTAATTTTAAAATTCGTCATTATAAAACTGCAACAAATTGTAATATGGTTTTTCAATTGATACATATTTTATAGTATCCCTAAATAGAGATGGAGATCTAATTGATTTTAAGGCATCTGGCAGATGGTTAAAGATTTTAGGACTTTCGTATATTATTGAATTCTTAACTAGAGATGAATCTGGAATCGGAATTAATAATGTATTATTTTGTCTAGTGTTGTAATGTCTCGACTCCGTAGGTAGATTTGAAATTTGTTTGAGTATTATACAATCTCTAGAATAAATAAATTAGTTAAAGTCAATATTTTATAGTTGATAGATAAAGGTTTACAATGATCTCTGTAACCAGCTTTGGCTAAGAATCTTATAGCTCTTTTTTGTAAAATAAATACCGAGTTGAGGAGATATTGGGAGCAGTTTCCCCAGAATACAATACCATACCTTAAATGAGTGTCTATAGGCCTTTTCATCATGTAATAAGTGCCTATAGGCCTTTTCATCATGTAATGAGCGCAAGCGCAGCAGTCATGTTGAAATAGCGGTAATTCAAAAGTTTCGTACTGTTTTGATCGACAATGGCTGGGAAAGCAATATCTCTACAGACAAATCAATCATTAGTAAAAATCTTTGATGGTGTTTAACTTTTTTATAAGTTTGTGGAAGCACATAGTTGTGAGCAATTGAAAAGGTGGTTAAAGTGTCTTGGACGTTTGCAACAAGTCAAAAAAGTGTTCTGATTGAGAGGTTAGGTGTATCAATATTTGACAGCAAATTAACTTTGAAAACATTACAAGTTCAACAAACATCTTGGGGTTTGTTTTCAGAAACTGTAGGAATTTTAAATCTTTAGAAGCCAGTTTGTTTATTTGTCTCTAGTCTGTAGCAAACTCAAGTATTGCAGTATAAAATAAAATTATAATAATTTAAAGTACATAGTCTGGCCAAAAAGATTTCTAAAATTTATATAGGTACTTTAAAAAACATGGTCGATATCTCACAGGTCACTATGACTATAATTTATTGTTAGAGGAATTCAGTTTTGTGAGTCTGAGAAAGAGAATATCAAATTTAATATTCATTTATAAATTAATTATTTTATAGAGTGATCTTCTTTGCTATCTCAGTTTAATTTCCACGTTCCACGAGTTACGTCTATCTCAAATATAACATTTCATATTCCAGTGCCAAGTTCGCAACAATGTGTAGAAGTGTCAATCAGTATTCTGATATATTTTTCTTGTGATTTAACCAATTTAAAAATCAATGTTACAGATTGGTATGTAATTAGGTAATTAGAGTGTAATTTAATTAAATAAATATTCTTAAATTTTGTATATTTAAACATTATAATACTCATGTAATTGGGCTATAAAGCCTGATCTATAAATAAATATGTGAAGAATACTGACAGAGTTGCCATATGCAAGAATTCCTTTAATCGCACAAATTATACTAATCAAATATTAAAAAAAAAAAACAAGAGTTGTTATTTTTTATTAGTGGTAACAGGTAATTCGCGATAATTTTTAATGTAAGTTTGGAATTAATATGTGTTGTCATTACTGGCTATTGTTTTTCGATTTTACGTCTTACAATTCGGGTGACAGGTGATATTTTTGGCGCCCAACGTGGGGTTCAAATCCAAAAACTTGATTTAAGAGTTACACATTTTTTCTCTAATATAGTGGCAGGCTATGAGACTTGGTTACATCATTGGGACCTAGAAACAAAATTAGAGGTCATAAAAGTTCTCCTTCAGAAATCCCAGAACATTCATGTCTTTTGTTTTATTGATAGTGAGGAAGCTTTTCCAATTCCATTCGTTTAATAATTATTGTTTCATCGAAATTTGTTGTGTTCTTGATCTTGATAATTGAGTCATTATTATTGTATCTATTGGTTCTTGATTAAACCAACAGATATCTTTTTGAATGAAGATTCATAGAGGAACAGAAAAATGTATATTTTACTCTTTATTGACAATCATACAAAAACAAAACCATAACAGTCTATAAACATACTACAGTATGATATATATTTATTGAAGTTCTTCCAATAGTATCATGATTTTTTATGTTTGTCTTTTGTATTTTTTTTAGGAATTAGAACCTAATTTTGGCATTAATTCTGACAAAAAGGATTTATCGAATGTTAGCTTAAAACAAACTGTTAATGTTCAAGAAATCAAAGATACAAATATCCATTCTAGAAGCTCTAATGAAAGACGGAAGAGTCCAATGAATACAAACAATCAAGAACAAAAAGTACAAATTTTAAGTGATGTAATAATCCACAAAGAAGACCCCAAAGACGTAGCAATAAATATAGATTTCTATTCATTACCAACACAAAAACTCAACAATTCCAGTGAAAAACGCGACCAGAAAACTCCTGATCGATCCAATACAAAAATGGACATATCCCAGTTATCAGATTCAAATGATTCTATTTCAGAACTAACTAATTTCAGTGACGTCATGGAAAATTTGAAAAACAAATTAGAAAGGTGTCTCGAAAACGTAGACAAGAGCAAGAATTTTACCAAAAGGAACATAGAAAGTATTCAGAAGCATTTGGAGAAGTTGAATGAGTTTTATTCGGGCTTTCAACAAAATAAGATTACAACAACTGACACTGGCGTTCAAACAGATGATTTGGAGTGCCAGGAGGGTATGTCAAGAATTAACAATGCAACTGATACTGGCATCCAAACAGATGATTTTAAATGTCAGGAGTGTTCTTCAAGAATTAATAATACAACTGATACTGGCATCCAAACAGATGATTTTAAATGCCAGGAGTGTATATCAAATATTAACAAAGAAAGTTTAATAAACAATAAAGGGCGTCGAGGTATAGACATAGCTACTCATTATTCTTTACAAGACATGGAATCGCAGTGTAATATTACTGATTTACTTGTACGCGATTGTTCTCAAAACGTACGCGCAGAACAGCCAAATACATTGGAAGAAAATCAATTAGAAAAAATGAGCGGCGAAGGAGTGAAATCAAAGAAATCGCATCATGATGATTTTGAAGGATATTTTTCAACATTGGATGATAAAGAATTAGGAAAAATTAGTGTAGACGGAGTACAATCACTAAAGAAAACACAGAATGATGATTTTGCAGGTATTTTTATCACTTTGTTATACTAATATATCTTTTTGATTTTTGAACTTCTACAGGCATTTTAACACCTACAAAAAAAATACCCCAACCACTATCCTACATCCATTCAACTTTTGTTTTCTTTATAGAGAGCTAGCGCCCGCAAGCTGGTACGATCGTACCTCTTGCTGGAATTTTGTGAATTGGTTAACGGGATCATTGGGAAGTGTCATCTGCAAGGTTTTAGTTTAGAACTCTGTAAAGGAGACATCTGACAACTCAAAGTTGTAAATATAAATATAATCTAAAAAAATAGATCATACTTCCGGCTAAAAATTTACATAAGGTATGCAAATCGTCAAATGACTAGGTCACTGCTAAAGAGCTGTCAGACGTCCTCAAATTTGGATTTCTTTTGTTGAAATTTGCAAAATCCACCTGCAATTTAAAACTTGTCATAACTCTTCATGGCTAAGATAGTTAAACATTCAACTTTGAATTTCGCTACCAGGGTTCAATTCTCGATAAAGGCAATTTTTTGGAAAAAATATTAAAAATGAAATAATACGTACTATTGTTGTTTATTTAATTTAAATAATTTTTATTTATCATAATATTACCCTTACAGTTGGGCAATTCATTAATATTTCCGGCGGCTCGTGCCTTAGCACACAGATGGTGCCAGACCAGTATATCACGCAGGTGCCCCGCCGAAGACGAAAAATTTTTGAAGGCCGTAGTTTCACTGTTTTTCCTATAAGAAGCAAGGGTTCACCATTTCCGATTGCATTTAAATTCCGCTAAATGTATTAAAATGAATCTTCTACCAGCTTAAAATATAAGGTTTGGAGAATGAAATCTATTTTTTATTTGTCCTGTTTATACACTGAATTTAAAAAAAAAATCATATAAAGTAATTTTAAAATCAGAGCTGAAAAGTAGGAGATTTCATTCTACATATTTTCCCAAGTATCCCGCCAAAATATTTCTAAATTTTATTGGGTATTTTTCAAATCTAAGCGGAAATACAATTAACAAATATTGTAATTTATTGGTCAAATTAGAGATTTTCTATGAATATCTGTAATTGTGTAGTTCATCTATTTTTAAGAAAATGTCACCTTTCTTCTTCTGAATGTTATTTTATCTTTATAAGGAACCTTATTTCTGGGTTAACACGTTGACTGCTACGTATGTATATATACCCATGTGTATGTCCCATTAGTGCGTAATTGTTCAATATTTTAATTTGTGTTAAAGACACGCAAACAAGTTTCAAAGAAAAGTTATATGGATTTAAAAAATACACATTTTTAAAATATTTTTGGATATACAGGGTGTTACATTTTTGCCTGGCATATTTTTTAAATAGATCATGTATTTTATTTCAATTTTAGAATGGTTTGGTAATACTGTCAACCAGTGGCGGCTCGTGGTAAAAATTTTAGGGTGTTCTGCAATTTTTGCAAAAAAGCTTACCTTTCTGGGGGAGAGGGTTATCTTTTAGTCAAAGTCCCATCAGTTTTATCGTGTTTGCTAAATGATGGATTGCTGGAACGATTGCCACACAAAAAAAAAAGAATCACCAAGCACTATTTTACTGTACTATATTTTCTTCAAGTGAAAATACAAAATGTTTAAAAAAAATGACATGAACAATTTAAACAGATAGTGCGATTTTACAGTCTATTTTTTATGAATTAGGTCTATCCTACGTTCTTTTTGGTTCGCAAATTTTGTAATAACTTTTTCATTAAAATTGTCTATTTCGGAAGTAAACTTTTTTTCAATAGATAGCATGGAAAGAGCTGTTAAACGATCTTCGGTCATTGCATTTCTGAGAAACGTTTTGATTCGATTTAGTATTGAAAAACATCGTTCGGTCTCTGATGTTGTCATAGGAGTTGTTACCACAATTTCTAATAATTTTCTAGTCTTCTTTAACGTATCTCCTAGATTGTTTGATATTAAAAATTTTAGTAGAGGTAGTGCGCCATTCAATGTCCTACAATCATTTTTGAATAAATAATACAGTTCAGTTCGCAATCGTTCTTTGTCAAGTGTGGGATAAAAAGAGCATGCGGAAGTGAGTTTATCCTCGGGAAATTTACCACAATATTCTCCAAAGCATTCCGAAAAAATAAGTGAGGCAACTACTAGATGCTCTTTAAAATCAAATCGATCTTTTGCACAATTTGGGAAAACGTCACACACCTCTAAAGCAGAAATCCGATGATCAAATCTGATGTTACTTGGGCGCTTGCGTTTATTTTCAGTAATGATGCTATCAATATTATTTTGAACTTGAGTGATAATGCGTTCAAAATTATCAATAGTGTCTTTTATTTGAGTGGGTTCAATTTTTCTTTGCTGTAGTTGATTGAATAGGATTTCTACGTGGGGCATCACATTATGAAAAAAAGTCAGCCAAAAATTGAAGATCGGATCATTTAATGTACGGCGAATAGAGGCGGCTGCATTACAGACTGTGTTGATGAATTGTTCTTCTATTTCATGCATACACAACATTAATGGTCCTTATATTAAAATTCCAACGCGTTGTAGCGCCGTGGGGAAACCTTTTCTTCACAATCTTTTTTAAGACTTCTACTAGCTGTGGTGATTTATTAAAAAAGCCCGGAATGTCTTGCAAATTTCCAAAAAATACACGTACTTGCGAATTTGCAGAAGCAGCTTTAGACATAATTAAATTAATTGATGGACATAGCAATGTACATAGTGAGCAAAAGGATACTATTTTTAATTAATGCTTGAACTCCTGCGTGTTGGCCGCACATCACCGCGGCTCCATCATAACTTTGTGCAATCAGTTTGTTTGGTGAATTTTGAACTAAACGATCTATAACAGTTAAAATTGTTTTACTAAGTGTTTCTGCATCACATTTTTCAGGAATTAAGTAGTTCCAAAAACGTTCAATTGGCTCACCATCCGTTGTTTCGTCCGCGATGATCGCCAAAAATGGAGAATTATTAATTTCCTCAATTATTTGTTCATGACAAACATCGAGCATACAATGTAACAGATCATTCTGTATTTCTTTAGAGGTGCCTTTAAATACCGAAGAATTTTTTAGGTGGTCACTCTTAGAGTTGCATATAATTCAGCCGAGAAATTTATAAGTCCACAAAATATCCCCGGATTCTCGGAAGAATCGCTCTCATCATGTCCCCGAAGAGCCAGTTCAAAAGCTCCACAAAACTTAATGCAATTAATAATTTTGGATAAAATATACCTATTCTTTGACACATTTTCATTATGTCTCTGAATATTTAACCAATAAGCAGAATCTAATTGAGCTATATTATTAGTTGTTCCTAGCAACTCAAATTCCATGCAATTATGAAGATGGCTTTTAGAGTTTTCGTGTTTTTTATCTTTAAACGTAAGTGTTTAAGATCGGTGACTCCCTATTTCCGTCTAAGCTTTATCGCCACCAAAAAGTAAACTGGGAAAACCGTACAGAGCATTTTTTTGGTTGCATCCACAGGTCTATTCGTTTTTTGAATAACTATCTCTATTAAATTTTCGTGTGTAACTTTTTACTCTACTTACACCAGTTTTTTCTATAATTATATCTGCTAATGGCCTACCTTTTGCTTTTAATTCCATCTTTTCTTCGTATGTATATTTAAAAAATTTCTTTACGTTAATTAAATTGAAGACCACTTCCATAGTACACATATAATTATCAGCAATATACAAAAACACAATACACGCACCCTTAAAATTATTGTTCTTGACTTTAACTCGCCGTAAACTCAGAAGTCGCGAGAAAATTCGAAAAAATCGTCACCGTACGTATTACGCGCAGCGTGGGACTAATTGCAGCGAACTCTCCACTTAAATCACCGCATCACCGGTTTGTTTTAACCATGGGCGCGGGATAGCGGAGTGCCGCGCGGATGTTTGAAAGAGCGCACAGAGCTTCATCATGTGGCCCAGATAAATAATAGTTCAGCGACAGCATGTGCAAGCGTGTGTGTCGGTAGGTAGGTAGGTTATTCCACTGGTCGACTTTACGTACACGGCTGCCAGCGATGCCGGCGCTTCGCCAGCAGTTATTTTTAAACTTTAAAATGCAAATATAATATACATTTTCTTTTTGGTAATAGGAAATATTTGAGTTAGATTATGTATTTAGAATTTGTTTTAGGGGCTCTCTAGCACTGCAGCACTTATCCAGCCTCCACTGCAATTAAATTTTTATGAAATTAAATTATCATAATTTAGGTAGGATTACATTGATTTCAAAATGTTCAATATACAGACTTATAGCACATTAAGATAACGAATATTGGTGATAGTGCTGGATTCTTTTATACTGAGTGTTTTGAAACATGTCTTAAATATGGCTACTTTTAAGTTCAATTTACTCAATTTTTTCAAAGGCAACACCCGGTATAATATTTTAGCATACAATTTCTTATAAATTTACCTATCCAACGATACCAACATGTTAGAGAATAACCCATATCAGTGCGTAATTAATTGATAGCCGTTTTATTGTTGGAAATACGAAAAAAAATTAACATAAAAATTGTATGAACATATTTAAAAATTATTCTTAAATATACAGGGTAGTCCATAAATGATCTGTTAACCAAACCTATACTTTTTTAACGCAAAACACCCTGCAGGTAGTTATACATATTTGATTGTTTTCACGTCGTCAAATAATTTTAATTGACTTCATTCATTTGCTATGTTATATATAGAGTATGTCAAAACGCGAGGTTATGAATATTTAAATTTTTTCAATGGAATACCCAGTTATATAACCACTATTCGTTAGCTTAGTATCTTATATCTGTATCTAGGGGCCTAATTCTTGACGGCGTTCGTCATCGTCTTGCATGCGGTTACGTATGCGAGTAGAAAAATGGTATTCTTGAATGCCTTTGCCGTATGCGGGTGATCACGCATGCGTCGCTTGACGAATGATTTGCAACAAACGGTCTTGGCCATTCGACAACCTTATCTCGCATGCGGTAACTATGGGTATCTAAGCGTTACTTGTCAGTGTCACATAGATCTAATAAAATATAATTATTCTTCCTAGTTTTTAATGAATTTTGTATAACTACCAAATATTCATTAGTCATTGTCATTAACTTTACTTAGTTATTGTATTTATAAGTGTACTTTTTTTTATAAAATGAACGATATAGAGGAATTTGTCCTTATAAAATTAATACAAAATATTAAAGAGGTACAATTAGATACAGAACTACGACCTACGGAGTGGGGGGTGTTAGGTTTATTTTCGTTACCAAATTTCTTTTTCGATTTTTGTTAGTTAGTCGTAGAAAAAATATACTGTACAACTCCAGTGGGCTCGAACTCACTCGTGGACGCGGCCAAAAGCACGCTGTCTCACCTAGCATTGGGTCTAAAAGAGATAGAATCAGTTATGAGCAGTTAGCAGCTATTCTACACGCATACGTCTAGTCGCACGCACACAAACACCATGCCCAAGTCTGCCGAACTGAAACGACATTAGACAATGCAGACAATTTCTTGATTCGATCGCCGAGCTCAAAGCCCGCGATAAAAGCTATGCAATAGCTTAAAAATTAATATCTAATATTTACATCAGCCGGGAACATTTGTGATACCAATTTATTAGAAGCCAGATAAAGCTCTTCTTGTATTGCATAAATGTTCCAGTCCGCAGACGTATATTTAACTCCACTTCATACTAATACGAATAGGGTCGGATAAAACCTTCCATGGCTATAACGCCGTACCGCTGTGCCGGTCGGAGTGGGGGGTGCTAGGTTTTTTTCTTTACGGTGTTACGAAATTTCTTGATTCGGTCGCCACTCAAAGCCCGCGATAGCTTAAAAGAAGGTCTGTGAGATAATATTGTAACGATTGTTTATTTTAAAAATAGTTTATTTATTTAAAACAGTTTATTTATAATTTATTTAAACTACGCACTAATTAGTATATTTATACTTAAGCAATATTTATATTTCACACTTCTAATTCATTTAACAATTCACCTTTACTTGACACCATTTATATTCTGTTTATAAACTTCAACTGACTTGCGAAACAAAGTCGCACTTTTTATATAATGCCAGACTTGCTCGAGAAGATTCTCGGTGGCTGTCTAGAAGCTCTAGAAATCCTTCCTTTATCAGTCGGCCCGCGCGCAAAGATTTTTCTAGTAACTTCTCGAAGGGGAGCGTTTGTCTCTGTCCAGCGGTATCGAAACCTAGACGGCAGCCTGTATGGCGAGAAGACAAGGGTCGATCTCAGGCGGTCGCACATTATATTAAAACGTCAAATGAAGGTAACAACATAAATTTTTGAGTGCCTCTGACAGTCCTTTAGCAGTAGCGTAGCCATTTAGACGTTTTAAATACCTTATCTGTGACCTTCAAAGAGGCGATATGTAAATTTTCAGCCGGAGATACGTGTGGGGTCTTTAATTATAATTTTGATCCCATCATAAATAAAGAGATAATTATTGTATATTATATTTTTAAAAAGACATGCTGTGTGTATAAAATAACTCAAAATCGGAATAATAGTAAATATTTGTTTCCTTGCAACGAGGTGAGGAGCTCCATCTTTTGTCTTTATAGAACTGCCATGCAATAAAAGTGTATTAAGTGTTAACGGGTGTTTAACATCTTTGATGCGTATGACGCAATGCAAGTGTGAAGAAGATATGTAGTGCATGTAAGTCACTACAGTACGATAATTTTTTAGCTGATATTTTTTACATTTTTAAGTTGTCTGACGTCTCCTTTGTAGGAATTCTAAACAGAACCCTTCCTTCACAAAATTCCTGTCAGAGGTATGATCGTATACTACTTTGCGGCTACTAGCTCTTAGACTATAGCTTATTGTTTAATTTTTAAGCTGAAATCCTATTTATTACAGGGTATATTTGTTTACAGATAGTTTAGATATTTTAAACATCGAAACTCAAGCACTGGAAAAGCAGTATTTATCGAACAAACAAGCAAAATCTCCCGATAAACCTATCGTTATAATTGACGAAATCGATCCGGTAGATCAAAATGCCATTCCATCGTCTGCCAAAAACGATCCCAACGAGTTGATTTGTTCGTTAAAATCGGATTGTTTAAGAAAAAACGTTGGTAATGCCAGTACTAAAAGAGCTCTATCAGATAGCGATTCGTCAGATATCGTGGTAACTAAGAAAAGATGTAATAGGTTTATTCGCGAAGATCTGTCAATTGAGTTTGACGCATCTGAGAAGCCGAATTTTGATAAAACCGAAGGAATCGTAGCGGGATTGTCGCTTGAATCTGATGGAGAGAACGATGAGGTAATGTACAGAATCTTCAAGAATACCCGTATCCCACGTGACCAAATTAATGTCATAGTTTACTTCAGTCATACTTTTTAGTGGCTTATACAGTGACCACGTAAAGATTGGAACAAATTCTATAAAATGTTTTGGTCAAGAAAACACTTCATGCAATCGATTTTATTTTTTGGGTGCGAGTATTTTTTAGTAAACGTATATTTTTTCTGACGTCATTTAAAAAAATAGTACCATTTTAAAGAGTTGTTACGTTACAACATTCAAATAAAATGTTTTAGCAATAATGTAAGGAAATAATCTCAATAATAATACACTTTGTGTGACAGAACGGATGTTATGATGCCAAAAGGGCTGATTCAAATAAAAACTAAATAAATTATTAAACGTATTTGGCACCTTACCTTGATATATCATAATCGACGCTTCACAGCGGTAGCAAGCGAACTGACTACTTCGTTGGCGGTACATCGATATCTCCGATTCTTCGAAAAGGTTCCAAAGCATGAACCTTTTAGGTAGGGCAAAGTATCAAAATATATAAATCGAATAATTGAAATTAATAAAGAAAATTAAATCCATTCTCGAACATTTTTTGCCCCGGGAAAAAGCACTTGTTGCATTTTAAGCAAAAAAAAATATACTGTGATGTTTGTTTATTTTAAACAACAGTTTATTTGTAAATAATTTATTTAAACACTTATTTATTTATAACACTACTATTCTAATTTATATATATTTCGAATGTTTTTAAACTGTTCACTATTTATATTCACCACTGTCTATCTACTAATTACTATTTATCTTCACTGTCCATATAATAACTAACTGTCGCATGGTCATCCACCAATATTTATATATAAATTGGTGGTCTAGAATGCTCCTCCACCAAAATATCCAGAATGTACCAGAAACGTTATCACGATGACTCAGGAATGTTCGCGAAAGTGTCTCCGCCATAGTCGTCACATATGTTTGGTCTTAAGGGGTTTAATTATGTATAATAATCGGACAAGTTGAGCCTCAAAGGCCAAATAAGACAGAGAGGGACTTGGAGAATTAGAGCATGACTGAATAATGAAATGGCTCACATTACAATACTTATGAAGTAAAGGTGATTACAGCACCCCTTATAATTTTCGGACAAGCATATCTCAAAAAGTAAATTTTTTAAAAAATTTAAATTTTGGCAAAATAAATTAGGCTATAATATCTAGAATATGCATATATTATAGTTTTAATTCCTTCCAGTTTCTAAGAGAAAAATAAAAGGGCTTTAAATTTTAAAATATGAAAATAAATGCATTCCTTTACAGCACTATTCTTAATATAATCCCCAAATTTAAGCTCCTAATCTCTTGTTAATAATTTTTTAAAATTCGCCGAAATTGGTGGCTAAAACGCCTTGTTAAGTGCTGCTTTCTGGTCTAAAACTATCGTACGTACACTCTTAGTCATCATTCGTTTCTTGCAAAGATTTACACCAGTTTACATTAAAAGATAGCACTTAACGAGGCGTTTTAGCCACTAATTTTGGCGATTATATTAAGAATAGTGCTGTTTAGGAATGCGTTTATTTTCATTATGACATTTCAAAATTTAAAGCTCTTTTATTTTTTTCTTGGAAACTGGAAGTAATTAAAACTTTAAAATATATGCATATTCTAGATATTATTGTCTTATTTATTTTCCCAAAATTTAAATTTTTTAAAAAAATTACTTTTTGAAAATTATAAGGGGTGCTGTAATCATCTTAACAGTAAAATGATACCCTCAACAAATAACTAGAGATAGGACTTTTCATGAAAAGTAATTTTTGGACTAGTCCGACGGACATGTCCGGAAAAGTAGTGAAAATTAATGAAAAATCACAAATAAAAGTAGTCGATCTTGAGCATAGAAGACACACAGTTAAATCTCCATTCTGGATCTTTTTTCAAAAACATTTTGGGAACAATATTTGCATTTGCTTTTTCATTTTTTAGGCAAATCATTTGTAAAATACTTCCAACCTTTGAATTTTTTAGTAATTTTAATAAGATATGAAACGAAAATTCGAAAACATCTTTAAAACATTATACAAGTCATTAACATTTGTGGTTTCTTCTTTTTTTAAACTATATTTTGCTTTGTAAGAAATTCAGACGAGTTCGTTAATTTAATTTCGCGCATGCGCAATACAGTTTTCTACTTTTGAAAAGTGTGTTTGGACTAGTCAACTTTTCAGACTAGTCCGTCAGACTTGTTCCTGGACTTTTCCAAGCGACCCATCACTAATTATAACAATATAAGACTAAGTATAAATTTTACTCAATTGGTAATGGACAAAATTTGGCCATTGGTCGTCTCAACTCACCATTTTTGGTTTTGACTGTCGCGACGCGCATGACTATCGTCTCCAGAATGCAAAGCTCTAATACTTCCAAGATACAACTGAGACGGCGGAAGATTGTCCGCTTTTATTAGCACAAGAATGCCAACAGTCGGAGTTCAACAACTTGGAGCGTTGTTGCAAAGTATGCAGATACTGTGTATGCCATCTACGCCACAAGTCCTGATGGATGCGTTGCAAAAGTTGCCATCGCGAAAGGCGGTTTAGGAGGAGGTCTTTATAATCAGGAACGGGTACCGCTGATAACGGTTCCATGGTTAAAAAATCTGATATGTCCAACACATGACTTTCCTATCTAGTTATTATATGCTTTTTCGGGTTATTTTGTACAACCTATTTCAGCACCTTTATAAATGTTTAGAGGATAAACTAAATATATACATTTTCCACATACATCTAACTCGAAACATTTTTCTATAGATATTCACTGAAAACGAAAATACTGAAAAATTTAAATTTAGCACTTTTCCTCCAATTTTTCCATTACGGTCCATTTTAGAAAAATCATGTAAAAAAACAAAAATTATAGAGATCGATATCGCAAACAACTTTTAGTTTAACAATTTTCTTAAAAATAGAATTTTGCACATTTTGTCAAATTTCTCGAATACGGACCATTTCAGGAAAATTTAACATAAAATAAAACTTATAATTATAATATTAGAAGTAACTTATTTGAACAGATATATTCCATAAAATTTAAAAACGACATCCTATAAAGTATCCCCCAGATGTTCCGACTTTGTCCAAAATCTAATCATTTCACCTCAGGCCGAAATAAAACTTAAGTTTAAAATTTAATGCTTTTCCTTTATCCGTATTTGAGTTAAGTGGTTTTGGAAATATTTAAAAAATTGTATTTTTTTTTTATGAAACGTTCACACACTGTATTTCCGTAACGAAGCATTTTTGAGACATAGTATATATTTATTTTAACTCCAGAATACGCTCCTGAAGTTATGTACCGTACTTATCGAACACCCTGTATACTATCACAATTTTTAAAACTGCTGATCTGTATAATTATGTGTGCAATGAAGAGTGAGGGAGTAGAGTAAAAATTATTAGAAAGAGGAGATTTGATTAAACAACTAAGGCCAATAATAATTAGATGTTGTTTTTCTCTCTAAAAGTTAAGGCTACGTAAAATAATAGGTTATGTATTTAAGCTGTCATAAAAGATAAGTCAATAAAAACTGACATTTCCATTCATTATTTTTTTCAGATCACGTGGTGATGCTGATATTGTTGAAGACAGTATTTTTTGTATTTGTTACATTTTAAAAAAAATTATGGTATTTAGTTTACTTATTTTTCAGAGAAGCTGCATTTAAAAATAAAAAGAAATAATGAATCGATAGAATACTTAAATGTGTTGCCTTATTACATATTTTACGTCAACCTGTCAATACTAAACAAAAATCTCAGAAAAACAAATGAAATATAGATAACTAACGTGCGTCGTTTAACATAGGCTTTGTTTGAAGCCAGTATCTACGAACTTTTGACAGTTTTGGTCTCTATGGGCGTATCAAATAGTTTTTCTTTTATCAGAATCTGAAGGAATCTTTTGTAAATATTTTGTCAAAAACAAATTTAAAGAAAAATGCATCTAAAACAAAGGTTGAAATGACAAGGCCTTAAAACCTTGACTAGTTGCATTGATTTCATTCAGATAATATATTTACATTTAAATAAAACGCTAAAATACATTAACTGTAGCATTATTAGTATAAAAAATTAGTGGCTAAAACGCCTCGTTAAGTGCTATTTTCTGGTTTAAACTGGTGTAAATCATTGCAAGAAACGAATGATGACTCAGTTACAGTCGCGTTACACCAGAAAGCAGCATAAGTTAAGACGAGGCGTTTTAGCCACTAATTTCGGCGAATTTTAAAAAATCATTAACAAGAGATTAAGAGCTTAAGGACAATGGGCAGAAATGTATGGGAAATTGCCCCACTTCCAATAAGGATAAGTTGTATGTCAATTGAAAGGTCTTTTTAAGGAGAACATTTCTCTTTATTGCGACTCATTTCAATTAGTTGTCCGTTCCGAGTTATACCATTCTAAATGTAACTAATTGCACGATAAGCCAGTGCTTATATTCTGTTATTTTAGTGCTTATTACCGGAAAATATTAGTAATTATTACTTCTTAGTAATATATAAACAATTATAATATCCGGGTATATCATATGATACTGTCGAGTATTTTATTCGCCACGTGTATTCCTTATCAAATGGCCTCTACGTGTTATTAACACAGCCCCACATATGCTCTCCAATGGATCAGGACCAATGGTTCAAGACCAAGGTAATGGTCTAACATAATAATACAATCATAAATATTACTACCCCATTTACATTAGAACGAATATAAAGCTATATAAAGCCACATACAGGGTGGGGCATCCTATATGCGTTGGTCCAGACTATGACATGATTTTTTTCAAATTACATTTTTGCAGAAAGATGAATATCTGTTAGAGCTCTAATTAAAAAATATTTTGGAATTTACAGTGTGCTTCAAAAAGTTTCTATCTAAAAAGTATTAACATTAAAAAATTTTAAACATTACAACCGTTTTAATTACTTAGTACAATATAATATTAATACAAAATGAAAGTAATAGGTAGAAGGAAATTATCATGCTAGCTAGTGCATGCCTTTCAGCTAAACCAAAGTTAGATTATATCATTTATAACTTGACAACTATGCATTTTGTCAATTCGAGATTTGATTTTTTGTTTAGTTGTTACAATGACAAGTGTCCTTATGACAACAGTTGTTCCGTAACTGATTTCAACGATATCTATAAGTTGGCAATTATACATTTCCATACCACTGAATTTGGGTTTTTTGTTTAGTCGTTACCATGAAAACTGTCTCTATGCGAACAGTTTCTCCGAAACTGATTTCTGCTAAACTATAGTTAAATTAAAGCATCTGTAACTTGGCAACTACTCATTTCCTTACCACGGTATTTGGGTTTTTGTTTACTTGTTACCATGATAAGTATCCCTAATGCAACAGTTTGTCCCTAACTGATTTCAGCTAAATTACATCATGTATAAGTTGACAACTACGCGCTTCCTCACCACATGATTTGTGTTTTTGTTCAGTCATTACCATAACAAGCGTCCCCATGGCAACAGTTTCCCCATAACTAATTACAGCTAAACTAAAGTTTAATTAAATCATATAACTTGGTAACTACGCATTTTCTCACCACGGGATTTGGATTTTTGTTTAGTCGTTAACATGACAAACGTTCCCATGACAACCTTCCGCCACAACTGATTTTAACTTAACTAAAATGAAAATTAAATAATGTATAACTTGGCAACTTCGCATTTCCTGATCAAGGGATTTGGGTGTTTGTTTAGTCGTTACCATGGCAAGCCTGGGAGGGGGAACAGAATTTATGTCAGCACCCATGGTATAAAAAATAAAAGGTAGGATATCAACAGTGTCAAAAATAGGACGGCCACGCGCATGACGTCACGCGTAGAGTTTGTATAGGCGCGAATTTAAAAATACTGACGAAGTGTGAGGAAAATATATGCTACTTACAGAAATTTAATGAATATTATGGATATTTTAGAAATTACATGAAATATCTATGGATATTATTATGGGATAGTTAAGGAAAGAACTATGAAGGAACATAAATGCAAATGCATTCATAAGAGAAATATTTTTTTGAACAGTTTTTTCTTAATGATTTATACAAATTCGACTTCTAAAGAATAGTTTTTATAACCAGGATAATGAAATAAAGGGTATCTTCGCAACTCGAAACTGAGGATCCTGGTAAAAATTTCGCATCTGGGTATGCCGGAAATTTTTACCTCATTAGGATTTGCAACTGGTTACTCATTTACCTGCATTATATTAACCAATTTAATAAAAAAAAATAATGCAAAACATAAAAAAATGTACCAAATACAAATAACTGCTACATAAAATATGGTGGGTGCATATACAAAATTAAAATAAAATGTCGCTGCATTTTTCCTGGACCTTGTCGCTGACAGTTTTTTAATTCATTCGTCAAGTACAAGTCGAAATTTTCTTTTTTTTTGTGACATATACAATTTCACTTTTGCTTATATTGCAAAATTTTTAGCCTTCAAAGGGTAGATTCTCCAGTTTTATAAGTCCCAAGTTGTGAATGAACCAATGTGATTCACACTGTCACAACTTCACAATATGTGAAGTTCTGATTAGAGGTCTCTCTTAAAACTGGAAGGTTTAATGTGCTTAGAATACATATGAAAATTTATCTACAGGGTCACAAACCACTGCAAGGGCTGCTTCATGTCGAATTTTCTTGGGAAGGAGGATAGCATTGCCTATTTAGCTTTTTTTTTAATTAGAGGGTCATGGATTTTAAGAATTTTAATCTAGGGAACGGCTTGCTCCCCTGAGCCTTTGCTGGAGCCGCCTTTGGGCCACTCCTTACTTCTGACTAAGCTTTTACTGTCGAGGAAAGCGAAAAACCATAATATCTTTCTTGAATCATTTCCTTTAATTGTTACTGTTACATCCGTACCGCAATTTTTCAATGTTTTTCACTAAAACCACTCACAGAGAACAAAGTTTACCACATAATATAATACAAATATCTGCTTAATATCTTATAAATCTCTATAAACGACTCACAAACTACTGCAACATGCGTCTGTCATATGATATTTATTTCGCGCCAACTATACTAACTCTACGCATGACGTCAACGCCGCCATGACACCATGCGCGATATCCCCCCCTGGTCAGCACCCACTAACAAAAGAATTTTCAGGGTTTTTACCAAAAAAAGAAAAACCTTTGTTTTGTCACATGCAATATCATACAGTGTTTCTACTAAAGTTGGAAACATGGAAAAAAAAATTATTATTGGTTTTGTGAAAAAATTTAAATGTGATAAAAAGTTTAACATGGTCCAAAACTTAAAATGCAACCATCAGATATCAATTTTTTTAAAGCCATATACCAGGTTTGTCAAAAAGTATGAAGTACCTACCTTTATTTTTTACAATACAGGATAATGTTATAAAATAAAGGAATTTTGAACTAAAAATATGCAAATATAACCATTTAGCATTAAAATTCAGATCTGATGATATTTATTTATAGCTACAAATAATGTAAAACGTAAATAGTCACCTAACCTGAATTTTTATGCTAAATGAATGTAATTGTATATTTGGATATAACTTTTAATTCTAAATAACTTTACTTTGTAACATTCTTCTGTATTTTAAAAAATAAGGTTCTTTACTCTTCAATAAAATTCACATTTTCTGACAGACCTCGTATACGGCCTAAAAAAATTGAATCTGATGATTGCATTTTAAGTTTTGAACCATGCAGAACTTCTTATCAACAATAATTTTTTTCAGAAAACCAATATTAAAAATAAATCCATATGGTTTCAACTTAAGTAGACACACTAGGTCTTTTCCTTTGCATCGAAAGTAGTGCTACACTTTATACAAATTGTATGGATGGAACGACATTTTCAGAAATAACGTAGCTCAGTGCTACACTGTCGATGCAAAGGAAAAGACCTACTATATAACTCGGAACGGACAGACAATTGAGAGAAGTCATAATAAAAACAAATGTTCTTCTTACCGATATCTTTCATTTGACATATATCTTACTCCTATTGGGAGGTGGGGGCAAAACTGCCCATTCTCCTTTGGGGATTATATTAAGAATACTGCTGTTGAGGAATGCATTTATTTTCAATACGATATTTCAAAATTTAAAGCCCTTTGATTTTTTTTTCTTGGAAACTGAAAATAATTAAAACTTTAAAATATAAGCATATTCTAGATATTATTGCCTAATTTATTTTGCCAAAATATTAACTTTAAAAAAAATAACTTTTTGAGATATGCTTGTCCGAAAATTATATTCATTTGTTTATCTGAGACAAAAATGACTTAATCTGTCAAATATACCTATCAAAAATTGTTGTTTTTTTAGAAATTATGGAAAAAATAATTCCTAATAGTTTTGAATAGAAAAAATTGCTTCGATCATATACTTTTCACTTCTTAATTGTATTGCTATCGTATCGTTGATGATATTTGATTAAAGCGAAAAAGTTCAACGGTTTGATATATTGGGACCGGTTTCTGAGATTTATTATAAAACAAAATTAGTCCAATTCCTTTATTCCACTACAGTACGTTTATTTTCAAGAATAGCATAAAAATAAAACAATTTTGTTTAAAATATGGTTGTACTTATGATAGCGTATTTAATTTTTTATTCGACATTTTTTAAATGCAAGCCCCCACCATCAACTTCTTTATTTGAATACGTACCGGTTTTGTTCAATGCTGAATATAGCAAGGACAGAAGATGGAAAGGCTTCTGCCAGTTCTCCCACTTCATACACAGGATTTGACAGTTTTGCCGCGGAGCTAACCGAAGTGAACAAGAAACAGCGTAGAAAGTTATTTTATAAATCCTAGTAACAATTTCGGTAAATTAGTTTAATACATTGTGAATAGCTGTTGAAATTTTGTAGACCTATGATTTGGGATATTGTTACTTGTTTAAATAATTATTTGTAGCCCATAAATAGATACGTGTGCTCGATTCCGCCGGTAATAATTTAAATTGTTTGGTATTAATTTTATTATACGATACGACACTGCTGAAGAAATATCACCGCGAAATTATCGGGTTTGACATTTACCGGGTTTACCATCTCCCTACCTACCAAAAGAATTTCCATATTTTGTCCCTGCTATACAATAATGTAACGACAACTTGTTGGAAGTTTTGAACCATCATTGACGTAACTAGGACTTTTCTCTAAACCTGTTTGCATCTTTATTGTTCCTTCTTGTCGATTGGCCAATTTTTTCCAAGTCAAAATTAGATTTGGAAATTGTATTTTTCTAATTTTTACACTCTTTGGCTCATTATAATAATTATTTTAGGGGGTGGTCAAACTTTTTGTGTCTTTATTGTGCCTTCCTGTTGAGTGATCTTTTTTTCCAAGTTAAAATTTTATTTAGAAATTGTATTTTTCGGATTTTCGCATTTTTGGGCTCATAATTAAAGGGTGGTCTAAGGTCGAAACATACTTCTAAACAATAACGGATCGTTATATAGCCCATATTATCCATTTTTTCCCAATTATTTGGATCTTAATTGTGCCTTCTTGATGATTGGCCATTTTTTCAAAGTTAAGATTTGTCTCAGAACTCTTGTTCTATAATAATTATTTTGAAGAGTGATTAAAAAAATCTAATGTTTGTTCAAACTTGGTAAAAAATTGGCCAATCCAAGTCAGCAGGCACTTGGCCTAGGATGTATGTTTCTGAGGGTGATCAAAAAGAGTTATTGGGTTACATGGTCAATAGGTTGTCAAACGTATGTATCTTTTAAAACTAAAATTTTTCAATTTTAGGGGGCTCTTAATATGAACCATAATCAAATACAATTTTGAATACTGACCTAATTTTCCGTTGAATTGAAACTTATTTCTCCATAGGTGTAAATTTTCATTATTTTAGGAATACCTCGACAGCATTCTAAAGAAATACAACGGTCCTGCAGCACCAACAATAGCAGACCAACCAGTTGACGAAGATTGCGACGATATCGTTGCTCAAGTTAAGCAAAACATGCAAAATCTCAAACGAAAATCGAATGACAGCGTGGGATCGTCGTACAAAACGGCTTCACCCAATTCTAGAAACGGCTTGGACGACGACAACTTCTTTTTGAACAAACACAATCTTTCTAAATTAGACAGCGACATCAAGATGCAGACGGAATTAAAAAACGATACTTGCGATATTATTACGGAAACGGAAAACTTCGAACCTTCGCTCAAAAAGCCGAAATTGAAGAGTTTAGACACCGCTTTCGACAAAGGCGAGTGTCCTAAATTATCAATGGGCGAAGAAAGTCATCCGTTAAGTCCGATTAAAAATAACAAAGGTACTTTTTGCCCAGAACTTGAGGATAGTTTGGACGATGTCGATTTCGAGAATATTTTGATGGAAGAAAAGGTGAAGAAAAGTGAAAGTAGAGATATTGTTGTAGGAAAATCGAACGAAGATGATATGTTCTCTGACGAGGATGTCGTAGAGACGACTCCGCAAAAATCAAAATCAATCGTTGATAAAAGGTATGTACATACGTCGCATAAGAGTGACGTCTACTACATCTATTCCATGGAGGTAGAAGGTAGGGAGACGAGTTCACGTGATCCAAGACTGGTTCACTTCCGCCATATTGTGTACACGAGTCCTTCAAATAGCTAATCGTGGTTTCAATCAACGTTTTTTCTATTTTATGTCGTTTGCAAACTAAATATATTGTATATATTAAAAGTTAAACAATGGTTGATTGTGCTCAACGTATTTGTAGCAACCTAATAGATATTTATATGAAGAAATTATCTGAAATAATATTCCACAACTAAGTATACAATATAGTAAGCAATGTGCATGGTCGTATTTGAGATATTAATTGTGCTTTGAGTGAAAGTGTTGTAACCATATTAGGGTTTTCTAAAGATTATTTAAAAATGAGACAATTTGCTGAAGTTGGTGCAAAAATTAGATTTAAACTAATCATAAATATTATCTTTGTTATCTTAAATTCTAGAAATTTACTTCAGTTTCATTATAAAAAACATTAGTCTTTAAAAAATTATGAAGGTATAGAAACTTTTTTAAATGACATGGATAAGTATATTAGTGCCTTAAAAACACGTAATTTACAACACCGACTCACATTTACAGTTTTTACCAATATGTAAAATATCTCAAGACCATTATATTCGCTTACATGGAGGCCACAACAATAACTCCACCGGCCAGCAATTTCTGGGGGACTATTTTCAAACTCGAGAGAAAGTGATTTCTCTCAAGATTTTCATGAGAAATGTCATACGTCATGGTAAAAACACTATTTTTAAAGACAGTTAAAACTCGTAGCCTGTTTATTTCGAGAGGATTAAAATTCTCCAAAGAATTTGAATTCTCATTGGCTTTAAAAATACTGTTTTCACGTTGACATATGACATTTCACATGAAAATCTTGAGAGAAATGAGTTCTTTTAAGTTTGAAAATATGTCCGTAACTTACAAAAATTATTAGTAGGTACATGTTGAAGTTTTAGTGGAAATTGTATTCATCTAGAAAGGCTTCGAATTTTAAAATTTCTTCGTCAAATCTACGAATCGTCAAGAGACTATAGAGCTCTTGGCTTATCAGAAAGTTACGATAGTGTGCTAGACGTTACTAAGTATAATCAAATTATTTACAAAATCCCACGCCAACGGGATTTACAATAGTAGTTTGTGCAACAATAGTGTATATGATGGCCATATCGCATGAATACGATGTGGACAATCCACTCGAGTTGTACAGTATATATTTTCTATGACCCACTAACGAAAATTTACAAGTAAAAAAATATTTTAGTTTATTAAGACAAAATAACTAATTTTAAAATAATTTATGACTTTTAATAATTTTTAAAATAAAATAAAAGAAAAAAAAAGGGCATTTCATTTTTCCCTATCCGAAAATCGAACTCGAATCTTCAGTGTGGAAGGAAAGAACGCTAACTACAGGACCACCTATTTTTTTATTTTTATTGTTTTAATACTCGTAATTAAATTGACTTCATATAGTTTTATTTAAATTAACAAATTATTATTTATTATTATAGAAGAAATAAAAACAAATGTTATTATTTATCGATTCTCCACAAGAATTACCCATTTTAATGTATGTTTAATCTCAATAACTAAAAAATATACTGATAATTTGACGAATTGTCACATTTAAAATTTTAAAAATAATAGCAGTCGGTTGATGAAAATATAAACGGTGATTGGTGGATTTCATTTTTTTTGCAGTGCTCTCACTACCTAGAATGGATATGAGACATATTCGTTTAGTTGAAGGCAATTGCATACTTTTCGTTTTGTAATCCATGTGGGTGCAGAAAAAATATATTGTTATACATATATTTAAAGTGACCATATTTTGAAAAGTAGAAAGCGTGACTAATCGAAAACAAGGATATATTTCTACGAATTCTCTTTACATTAGTCACGGTTTGGTTAATTTAAGAGCAAAAAATATATATTAAAGAATGGGTTGTCACGTCACCATAAAAATTGAAATTTTTATATTTTTTCGTTAGACAAAAGCGGGACACATGTTAAATCGCGACTAGTGGTTTAAAATCGGGACTTTCCCGTCTAAATCGGGAAGTATGGTCTTAAAAAAGGCTTATTTGTGTACCTACAGACCAGAAAGCTCTACAAATATATTCGTTTATTAGAAAAAAAAATTAAAAGAGCCTACAGTATATCCATCTATGCTCTATGGATGTTAGATGTTTCTCTTTATAAAAAGGAACTATTACTTTAAATGTTATCCACCTTATTTTAGTAAAATGTGTAGTGTATTCAGTGCTACGAGTCATTTATAAATAAAAATATATTTGCAAATTGTACAGTTTTGATCAGCATCCCTTGTATAACCTAACAAATATACAAACATTAGGATGTTTTACCTCATTAAAAATAAAATTAAAAAATGTGATAGCATAAAATATAACAATAAAATTGTATTTTTTAATGGCCAATATAAACATAATTTTTATATTATTCGTTATTTTTTCATAATATATTTTCAATTAATACCTACCAACTGTTTTATTATTGTATGTTATATCAGTTTCGGTCTAAAATAACAGTTATCTTAAACGATGATATATTAAATGAAATTTTAGGACTTTATTTATTCTATAAAATACTATCTTCCACATTTTTTATTCCTTGAAACTTATTTTATCAATAAATGGAATTCTCGGTGGAATTACTAAAAATTAGTTATTATAACCTTAATCATTCACTTTATAACAATTAATTAACATAACTTACATTTTCTAAAAAGAAAATAAAATTGTAGATTTGGGTTTCATTCAGAAAAGTCCGTATCTGGCGGATCAGCCATATTGGGTTGACAACAGCCACGCCCAATGCGCTAGTTCAGTGTGATGTCATTTTGGTTCCACTGACATTTAATTCTAACCAAACTTTTAACAAAAACATCAATAAATTTGACATATACGGTTTTACTGTTTTTACTTTATTTCAAAATATTGTTTACAGGTCATAAAAAATAGTTTAAAGGTATGTAATTGGTATCTAAACGATTGTATATTTGATACATGCTATCTACTTACTTTAGGAATATATTTATAAAAGGGAAGAAACGATATAATTTAGGTAAAAAAAACGAACAAGACGCACTGAAAAAATCTGTCACTTTAATTGTCAGTGGAACCATAATTACATCATCACTGAACTAGCGCATACCACTGAATGTTTGAAAAAAATACTTATAGCGTCTCCCTACCTTATAACTCCATGATCTATACATAAAACGTTTATTGTAGACATTAAAAAAACTTCATGAATGTGTAATAGAGAAGAATTCTTTTCATAGTAAACATTATGCAGATAAAATTCTATCTACGAATATTACATATTCTAGACATTTTATGCTGTCTAAAATAAACGTATTCAACTATAATCCATTTCAGATCGCCAACAAATATCGCCATCAATCTATCAAAAATTTTTTCTGTTGTGGACGATGTAGACAATGCATTTGATGCATGTTTTTTACCACTGGCACCACCACCAGGTTTCGAAGACGACAATGACGATGACACTCCTGCCGACATTACAATTATCAACGTAAAACCAAACGAAGAAAAAGAAGTTACAACTCCAACAGCTACGCCTGAAAAAAATTTAGAAAATATACAGAACATGATGACTCCTCTCAAAGTAAAATTAATAAAAATGCAACACAGCACCCCGTATTCTCAATGTAATACGAACGCGAGCACTTTAGCAATATCTCCGATCGTTCTAGAAAAATCCCTATTCGAAAAAGCGCAAGAGTCTCATAACACCATCATAGCAAAGAGTAGTGAAGACCCATCTCGCAAAAGAAACAGCATTTTAACTAGCGATCCGAAGCAAAAAAGCATTTTGAACTACATCAAAACGCCTGCTGGTTCCCAACCGAAGCCGAAACCTTGTATCGCTTGCACGAGACTCACTAAAGATCAGACGCAGAGTATTTCTCTTCTTACGAACAAAAAGTTGGCTACTTACAGCGCCAAGTTTAATGATACTGTGACGCATATGGTGGTGGCCGTTGACGAAAATCGAAAGATAAAGGATTATACCATGAAATTCGTGGCCGCTGTCGCATCAGGGTTATGGGTGATCGGATTCGAATGGGTCCAGGAGTGTTTGAAGAAAAACGCGATAGTACCTGAGGTAATTATTGAATTTTTGAAAGTGAAAACTTATTTGACGCGCCATGCACAACTTTTTTCCTGGATTGTGAACGAGACTGAGCCGTTACGCTCGGTTACGTAACGTCCATTCGAGTCGATTTTAATTAAGAGAGATAGAGGAAGACTGTCAGCGCAGCGAGATAGTCTATGCGTCGCTCGGCAGACCTCGACTCCTCAAGTTGAGTTTACTCGAGCCGGCATTAAATCATAACGCTGGCATAATAACAATATAGTCACAGTCCAGAAAACGCGTCGTGCATTGCGTCGATATTTACATCGTATTTCTGATAATAATTTCTTGATTAAATTTGTCTCTTTTTCGACTATAATTTAGTGCTAGTTTTTTCCAGATATTTACAAAATAGTTTTGAATCAAAAGTATTTGTATTCTATTTTAATCACCATAAACTCTTCACACAGTAATCTGTGAAGAGTATTATGCATTCGCTTCATCCGTCTGTCCGTCCGATGTCACGTTTTTTGTCCGCACGATAAGTCAAAAACGAAAAACGATATCAATTTGAAATTTCAGAAAAAATCAAGCTATATAAGGGGACGAAGCTTATTGATTTTGAAAAAATCTGAAAAAATGGGACGGTTAAGGAGGGTAGAAATATTAAAAAAAATCCTAACTCAAAAACTAAAAAGATATCAACTTGAAATTTTTAGTAAAAATTAAGTTCTACAAGGAAATCTGACTAAAAATGGTGATAAGGGGGGTTGAAATTAGGACTGGACGATTATCAAAATAAATAATCGATTATCATTTAAAATAATCGATTAATCGAAAATAATCGAGATTAATCGAAAATAATCGAGATTAATCGAAAATAATCGAATATTATCGTTTATCAAAAAATTGATTAATCGATTAGACGAAAATTATCGATTAATTGAAAATATTGTATTAATGGAAAGTAATCGAATAATCGAAAATAATCGATTATTCAAAAATAATCTATTAGTCTATAGTAATTGATTAATCGAAAATAATCGCTTAATCGAAAGTAATTGATTAATCGAAAATAATCGATTAATGGAAAGTAATTGAATAATCGAGAATAATCTATTAATCAAAAATAATCGAATAATCAACTAATTAAAAATAATCGAATAACCAAAAATAATCGATTAATCGAAAAGAATGGATTATTTGAAAATAATCGATTAATCGAAAAAATCGAATAATTTAAAATAATCGATTATTCAAAAATAATCGATTGTCGAAAATAATCGATTAATCAAAAATAATTGAATGTTCGAAAGAAATCGATTTATCGAAAACAATCGATAAATTAAAAATATTAGATTAATCGAAAATAATCAGTAATCGAATATTCGAAAATAATCGGTTAATCGAAAATAATCGGTTAACCGAAAATAATCGGTTAACCGAAAATAATCTATTAATCGAAAATAATCGATTGATCAAAAATAATCGAATAATCAAAAATAATCTATTAACCTAAAGTAATTGATTAATCGAAAATAATCGATTAATCGAAAATAATCGTTGAATCAAAAATAATCGACTAATCGAAACGAATAGATTTAAAAATAATCGATTAATTGAAAAAAACTCGAATAATCTAAAATAATCAATTTATAGAAAATAATCGACTGTCAAAAATATTCGATTAATCAAAAATAATCGAATAATCAAAAATAATGTATTTTAACCTAAAGTAATTGATTAATCGATTAATCAAAAATAATGATTAATCGAAGATAATCGTTTAATCAAAAATAATCGATTAATCGAAAATAATCGAATAATCAACTAATTAAAAATGATCGATTAACCGAAAATAATCGATTAATCGAAAAGAATGCATTTGAAAATAATCGCTTAATTGAAAAAACTACGAATAATCTAAAATAATCGATTATTCGAAAATATTCGATTAATCGAAAATAATTGAATATTCGAAATTATTCGATTAATCGAAAATAATTGAATATTCAAAAGTAATCGATTAATTGAAAATAATCGATAAATTAAAAATAATCGATTAATCGAAAATAATCAAGTAATCTCGTTTATTCGAAAATAATCGATTATTTTGCCCACCCCTTGTTGAAAAAATCCTAATTCAGAAACAAAAAACGATATCAAATTGAAATCTTCAGGAAAAATCAAGCTTTATAAGGGAATGAAGCTTATTGATATAAAAAAAAAATGAGTGGTTAAGGGGGCGGTGTCTGTTAGTCTGAAGAGTATCATATATAATGCCAAGCATTATATATCTTCATTCTAGTTTAATTCTTAGATTATGGTAGAAGTAAAGAAATCAATCGAAACAGAATGTATTTGAGTAATTAATACACAATAATTATAATTGTATGTGTTCATTATTACTCTATCAATATAGAAATAAAATTAATGATAATTGTATTCTGATCCTTCCAACCAATATACGTAATAATAATATTAAACTAGTTTTCTTTTTATTATGTATATTGTAACATCCACTAAGCACCGCCTATCGCCAGTGTAACAACTGCTAGGTCTCTTATTAGTCTTTAACTAACTTAGTTCACTATCACCAATATACTATTAAGCCTAAGGGATGGGGGCAGTACTGTCACCTGGGTCCTGAATCCGTGAAAAAAAAAAGAAATAAAAATTGAAACAAAATAATCCCAGCTGGTTAAATTCCAATTACTAATTAACAGTGTATTTACCAGTTAAAATTAAATTATTTTGTGAATTATCTCTTGTTATCATTTAAATTTAAAAATATCCCAAAATTATTAACTTTAGGTGAATATAATGCTTGACGCAAATGATAGTTCAATTAAGGTACTTTTGAATTAAAAAAAAAAAAGCGAAAATAAGTATTTGAGTTTTGACTCCCTGTACAAATTTGTTTCGAACTGAAAAAAAATAGTGCATCTACATAAAATGTTGACTAACATCAAAAAACTTACTGCAAAAAAAATTAGTTGTTTCTTTTGCTGTAAACAGGTCATTATAATCAATGCGATTTTAATAAAAAACTGATTACACTGTATAATCCCTGTATACTCCCATACTATTTGGATAAAGCGAGTACATTTAAAATAAAAAATGAAATACAGGGTGTTCCATTAATACTATTAATTTGTATCACTTTAATGGAGAACTCTGTATAATTAAAATTATTTTTAAATTGTTGCTTCTTCTGGTATACAACTCGCTCTGAAAACAAATTTATATAAAATCAAATAGCTTTGGCTTTACAGACCGAGTGGTTACGTCTGTATAACTATTAGTAATCTAATTTGGGACCAAAATAGGAAAAATTAACATTCATATGGAAAATAATAATTATTTGTCTCGAAAACAAATTTAAAAGAGAAATTCGCGGCACAAAACTTTACAAAATAAGGTGCTTCCAGACATAGGGGTATTGCTAGAGCGGCCTTTCGGCCATAGTTTCGGGCACGTCTTCTCGACTATCGTCTATCTATTTAAACCAAAATCTACGTGACAGGTTAAATATTTTTTTTTACGTATGACCTTGCATAATTCTTTGGTTCGATATAAGCCATTGACTGTAGTAATAACCTAGTTATTTGATTTATTTCGTTTGGTTAAAACATTATTTTTTTAATTTATGTGTATTCTTTAGATTTTTATTTATAATAATTCCAATCATTACAATATTACGTAGAATTATTACCAATGACAAATAAGTTTTTACTTCTGACGTGTAGTCTTAAGCACACTCTATTTTTAATGTTACAAGTAATATCTGGAGAGTAGGAAGGCTTGACCGAATTTATTTCCACTGCTGACACCGTAAAAAATTTTCAATTTTAATCATTAAGGGCCATTTGCACCGCTAGTTGTTAATATATAAACCAAGCTTAAATAGCTATTTGTGTATTGAGAGCGAAAAGTGATCTTCGCCGCTTGAGACAGCAACGAACTTTTTGCACACAAGATTTTTTCTACGATCAGACTTTTTAAGAAATATATATAAGAACTGAAAATTTGTTGTAAGTAGTGTATAATGTGTTGCTTATACCTAGATTAATAATGAAAAAAGCAGTTGATATTTCAAAGTCCATGTTAACTTGGATAATATAACAAAAAACATGTAACTACGTACAAATAACTTGATAGTAATTTATTAAAAAGAAATATAATTATATTATATCTAATTTAAATTAGATATAATTATATTATATCTAATTTAAATTAGGCGAGCAACATAGCTGTTAAGTTTTCCGCTCCGCGGGCGACAAATATGTCATTTAATGTCAGTTCGCGGAAAACGCCAACTTTGTTGTATTTCGAAGCGCAAAAGCCTACTTTGGATAGTGATAGTAGAAAAAAGATATTTTTAATGGAAAAATGTAATTTTAAGCTTGGTTTATTTCTTATTGACTAGCGGTGCAATTGGACCTAAGAAACAGACATATTTCTGCGTTTTTCTTTCTAGGAACCTTATGAAGTCTTGGATGATTCCGGTAATTCCGGGCCTAAAATCGCAAGATTAACTAGACAAGAAAATCCGTTGTTAAAAGGTTATCAATTTTATTGCGTTAAATCCTTATATTCCATCACAGTTGAGGAAGTTGAGGTATGTTTATGCTAACCTTTCTTTTTCTTAATAATACACTCGTAGACAAAATTATAGAATATTTTTTTGTCGTTTTTTTTTTTAATAATTTTTTAATTATCTCTATAAACTTTTTTATGATATGTCAACTCTTAGCTTCTGGCCGAAAACCTGCTCCTACTTGTTTTTCAATTTTGGAGCCGTCCGTGTACAGCGCATAGTCCACCTGGGAGAGGGTTTTATCTCCCCTGGGTCCCTATTCTTGACGATAGAATAGAATAACCGAGATAAAGTAGGAGTGGTTCTTCTGAAACTTCAAAAACCGTATTCTTGACGATGTTTCTATTCAAAAGGCCATTTTGTAAGAGAACAATACGCGTGTTTAGTGCGCTTCACAGGTTGAGGAAGGTCATAGCACTGGATGCCAACATGAAATCCAGAACGTCAAATGTCATTAATGTCCATCAGAATAACACAGTGGTCATTGAAATTATTGAAGCATACTTTTGAAAATGAAAGCAATTTAATTATTTAACATATTAGAACATATGGATGGTAAGGTAATAAAGTTTATATGTTTTTCTATGGATTTTATAATTTTATTTTTTTCAGGAAAATATTTATTTGTCTTCGATTTGAAGAATTTTAACACAGCCTACTCAAACCCTGGTTTTTGAAGTGAATATAATTTAATTAATTTACACATTCAAAGCATATAAACGGTAAGTTGATAACATTCACATGTACTATCAATTTCATAATCTTTTTTTACTGGAAAAGAATTATTTTTCCGTGATTTGAGAAATATTAACCCAACTTGTTTAAAGGGTAAATTTTGAAATGGATTTTAAAGCAGTAGCATATGTCCCAGATGCCAAGTGATTTGCTACAACATGGCTACCTTATTGTATTATGCCCATTACAATATTTGCTCAAAATGCTTTTGATCCAAGGTATACTGTACGTCATGGGTTGTTGCGATTTATCATGTTTGTTGTTTGGACATAATCCGTAGAGACTGAATGGGATCCTAATTTAAACATTTTATATTGACATATTCATATCGGCTGTTTTCTTTACTTTTTTTATTACTGCAAAAGCACTGTCAAAATAGTTACAATTTAGATACTGAATTATTCTTTATTACTACACAAATATTTGGTAACTTATATTATTATATAATAAAACTACTTTAAATTTATTTATATTGCAGAACAGAGTAAACCTTCGAATATTTAATATATAATTTTCACAAATATGGGTTTAAGAAAAATGCAGAGGCATAGTTCTTATCATTTGGTCTGACCTCTCCACTTTCAGCTTTGATCATAACAGAATCTAAATCAAATATTTTTCTTCAAGAGGATTAAAATGTGCTATCGATTCCATAGGCACAATAAAGTTCACATTCTACTTACATACAATAACTCTTGAGAACCTATATCGAGGGCCACAATGCAGGCTATCATTTCCTCTGAAAATTATATTTTATGATAATCTTGTTTAAAACATTTCGTTCCATCTACTGTATGGGGGAAGTATTACAATTTTTGAACAAAACGGGTATATATTAGTCGTATTATAGAGTAAAATGGATTGTTCTATATGTAAAACATTTTTGTCTATTTTGCGGCTTAGGAAGTCCTGTCTTGTGGCCCCGCGATATATGTCTCACCTGCTTCTATTCTGGACCGACCCAGCCATTGATTTATCTTGTAAATATTAAATTATTTTCACTCTCACAATCAGGAATAAGGTTAAGTTTCTCAAATCGCTGAAATAGAATTTTTTCTGAAAAAAAAAAAATTATGAAATCGATAGAATTACATGTAAAGGTCATCAACTTACCGTTTATATTCTTTGAATGTGTCAATTAAATTATATCCACTTCAAAAACCAGGGTTTGAGTAGGCTGTGTTAAAATACATGAAATCCATAGAGAAACATAAACTTTATTACCTTACCATCCATGTGTTCTAATATGTTAAATAATTAAATTGCTTTCATTTTCAAAATTATGTTTCAATAATTTCAATGACCACTGTGTTATTCTTATGAACATTAATGACATTTGACGTTCTGGATCTCGTGTTGGCATCCAGTGCTATGACCTTCCTCAACCTGTGACGTTTTGCCTAAACACGCGTATATTATCGTTACTCATATTTATCTATGTCGATGTGTCGGATTTTTATGCCACGTGACGTCATATCATGTGACAAGGATAGAGCTAACAAGGAAGATTTAAAAAAAGTCGGGGAAGTCTTGGTTAAAATAAGTCCTTTCGATACATTGTCAGACAATAATTTTGTTCAATTTTTCCGTATAAATGTGTCGATTGCTATTATAAATATGGTAGTTTTTACTCTTGTGATAAATAAAAAAATGTATTATTTGACACTAGTTTAATTTATTAAAAAAAAAAAAAACAGGGGCAACATAATATAGAGTTTACAAGATAGTTGAAAATATCGCTACAGAAGAAAATCCATCTTTCATTTTTGTTGGGACGTTATTGGGTTACCACATATTTTAGGGTTTTTTGCGTTATCCAATATTTCCTTTTATTGACAAAAACAATGTCGGAGATTCGTACCGCTAGTCATTAAAAAATAAGCGAAGCATGAAATGACAACACAAAATTATTTTAAGCTTTATTCGCATTTGAAGTTGTCAAAATATTCTTCGATTTGATTGGTTAAGAAGTTGGACAACAAAGCAAACGATTTCTACTAGGTTCTTCTCCCTCCCTACTATTCAAGAATACAAGTTAGCAATAGAACAGTGATAAAAAAACATGGAACTCTCCCCTGGGATCATTCTATTCTATCGCTGTCAAGAATAGAGCCCCTGCTTCATACGTATCTCTCTGGAATGAGGACACTGTATGACTTTTCTATGTGTTGTCGAGTAACTAGCGAATTCGAAACCATGCTGTGGATATGTGGTGATTATTAATCTCATTCATCAGTCCCATTGCGGTTCTTTATTTCATTCCTAGGGGGAATTTGGGATTATTCATTTTCATATTTCCAAAATTGCATTTCAGTTTTTCGGATCACAACCAATTTTTCCCAGTTCGATTTGTTTCGTTTATCTTTGTTTTAACCTATTGTGCGATATTTTTTAGGACGTCATTACCAAACTTGGAGGGACCACGGTGCGAAATTTGGAAAGTTTACTCGAAAATGATGGAAAAACTAAATTAATAATTACTGAAGGTAGATCCACACAGGATTTTGAAGTCTATGAAAGTAAGTATAAGCAAGATGGAATTCTATTTTTCTCTTTTTAATAATATATACAATAGATAACGTTTTCTTTGAAATTATTTTATTCGTTATAGGTTGTCCCGGAAATAGTTATTAAAATTTTAGAACTTATTCTGGGACACCCTATGCATACAATTTTTAGAAAATCATTGCATTTATAATTTTTAGAATGGTTGGAAACATATAAAATTGTCACTGTGGATATTGAATGGTTGAGCAGGTCTGTGGGTCGATATAAAATTTTAAGCGTTCGACCCTACATCTGGTGTTCTGATGACATGTTGGACGAACTGGGATATCCGCCATATTTGATTGAAGCTTCATCATCGAGTTCGTTTTCTGAACAAATGTAGCTATTAAGTATTTATATACGTGAACGTATATTTTACTTTTAAGAATGAAAGTTTACATTATCACAAATATATTTTTATAAATCTTGTAGGTATACAAAATATTTCTTGATTTTGTTTTGTTTATTTTATTTTGTTTATTTTTGTATCAATATAAATACATTCGCGTTGAATTTTTTTATTCTTTAATCCTATTGAAACAGTCATATAAGCGGTGGGTGGCACTTTTACCACGTTTAGTTTTCATACAGACGAACATATCTTTTTAAATGGATGATGGAGGAGTTACATTTCTAACGTTCACCAGGTGGCAATACTATTTGACAGAAAATTATATATTAATATAGGTTCAAATAAGTCCAGGAGATGCTTTGTTTGACGTGGGTCAAGCGAAAAGGGTAGAAAAGAAGAAATTAATTTTTTATTAATATTGGCCCCACGTTAGGCGCCATATTATCTGGGGTCTTTACCGACAATAAAATGCAGTTTAAGATCGTGGGAACATACAATTCTTTAAATGTACTCCCTTATTAATAAAAAAATGTATTTTTTCTCTTTACCTTTTTTGCTTGACACATGTCAAACAAAGCATCTCCTGGATATTTTTATAGCCCAGCAGTGGAATTCTCGTCTTTTGATGTCACGTATAGAGATGCTATCTAACGTTCAACAGACTATTCGCTATAGAGCCAGCAGCGATTCGTATGCAATGTCGTATGCAACAACAGTGTCAGATGTCAGAATAAAGTTTCAGGTTTTTATATTATATTAAAAAAAAAAGTGATATAAGACATATATTAAAATAGCGTAAATAATACAAGAAAACAAATTTTTTGATATATTTTATAAGAAAAAGGACAGTAAAGGTTAACGCAGAATATGCAGGACCTTATCGCGTTAGGTTCAATCCTATTACTTAAAATGAAAGTGAGTAAGGATTATCACCACACTAATTTTTGATGAATACTTTCGGTTTGTTCCAACAGCGAGTAGAAGCAGGATTGTAAAACAACGACTCTGGCGTATTTGACAGAATTGACAATTAACTTGTCATAAAAGTCATTTAAAAGAAGTAATTTCCATTTAATTTCTTGTTTTACCAGATCCATTGCTGGCTGAAAGTAGAGTCGGTAATAGAGCATGTGAGATAAGGGTATTAAAGATGTATTGGGTCCAAATTGGTAAACTAAACAAGCTACAATGTGTGTTTGTAGCGCGGAACGGGCGGACGGAATGGATCTACCAGTTCATTTACCATAGGGGTGATATAAGCCCTCGTGCATCTGCCTGTAGTCCCTAGATGCACAGTGATGGATTTAGTGAGGACTAAGGTCCGTATTTATAAACAAAAAGCGTGAATTTAGCGATGGGTAGTAACAAATTCGTAAATGTACATAACAGTTACAAATTTGCTAATATCCATCTCTAAATTCTAGTTTAACACCAGAACCACCTAGAACTTTAGGGACGTTGTAACCGAACTTCGATTTTAGTTCAAGGACGACTTACTCAGGTAAGTTCTGTTTATAAATACGGACCTGAGTCATGTGAGGAAACCCACCCTACAGTCTACCTACAGTGTTATGGAATGAGCTCTGGTTACAAAACTACTTTAGATGCAAAGAAACTTATCTCCAATCTTATAGGTTTGAAGAAAATTAGGTCCAAAGTAGGAAATACGACTTTGTACCTCTTTAAAAAATTAAAATACAATTTTTTCTAAACGTACTATATCAAAAAACTAGTACTAATAATGACACGATTTTCTACCACTAAAAATATAAGCTAAAAAATATATTGCTGAAAATTTTCCAAAGAAACAAATTGGTTCTATAAGAGAACGAAAGCTTTTGATTTTGAATAAAACAGATTAAAAATGGTGGGGTCAAGGAGGGTTGAAATTAAAAAAAAAAAAAAATCAAACGAAAAACGATATCAACTTGAAATTTTCAGGAAAATCAAGCTCTATAATAATAAATATATTTTATTTCAAGAAAATTACATCATATACCTACATATACTTATACATAGTGTAAAATTAGTTGAACAATCGTCACCCAAAAAAAGATTATATTACAGCCATCTGACGTTTACATTTGGTATTCTATATAGTCATTAATAGAGTTAGGCTCGATTGTTACTCAAATTCGAGAGACGCAAATGGTGGCTGCCACCTTATCGGGACTGAGGCCCACAAGGGTAAACTCGTAGCGTAATAAAAACGAGAAATGATTTAACTTGGAACGAAAGACCGAAAGCCGATAGTAGTATTAGGACGTTGAATTTTTTAGTTGGCATTAATTAGGTTAAAATATGTGATGCTTTTTACAAGCCTTGATTTTTAAAACCATTCTATATCGCCTTTTGATTAGGGTTTACAAATTTGTTTGAGCAATTTATCCAATAATAATTGGCCCCTTTACCTCTTAAGCCGGCTCATGTAAAATATTTGGGCTCCTTACTTCGCCTATCTATCTATAGAAGGATGAGTATTGCAACTATGTTAAAAGAAATAAATTGGCTTTCAGTTCAGAATTATGTTCAGTAAATGACTGATATTTATTTATAAAATAAAAATGACAGTGCCATCGCATCAGATCTATTAGAAAAAATTCAATATAATTCGCAATATCACAAAACTATAATACAAGAAGCATGTACGGCAAGCCATCACTAAAAGTTCCCAAAATACAATTTTTATTAAAGGTTTAAAAAATTTAATAGACTCTACCTACAGAAATTAAAAAAAAAAAACAATAAATGTATTCAAAAGTAACCTCAAACAATACTTGATAAATAAACAGAACGGATATAGGTACTTTCTTGTGATAATACTTTTTAAACCTGCCCTTTTTAAGTATTTCCCTTAATTTATTGTTATTTTACCCCTCGTTTTACCCGCATTTACTATAAATTATTTCTGTTTTGAGATCATGTACTTTATTTTAAAAAATTACTTGATGTTATATTAATACTACTTACTATCTTTAAATTATTAATAGTTTTGCGACGATAGGTTATAGCAACTTATAGCCACAAAACTATTTCTGTGTTAAAGTAGATCCATAGAGAGCAATGTAATTTACAAAAGCCTTCTTTCAACATACAAATAAATGACTTTATAATTAAAATAAAAAACAACAAAATACCTCGGTACCAAGGTAAGAAGATACATTTTAAAATTTTATTTATTGTGAGGAAATTTATGACTAGAAGTTTACTAATTATTATTTACAATTCGCTGGTTGAATATGTAATCCAAAATCGTATAATAAAAATGTTCCACAAAAAAAACAGCATTATCTCTTTTATATAATAAAAAAGTGCTTTGTATAACATTATATTATCTGTCTTGCTGTACCTTTATTTATGGAAAGCCTGAATTGAGATACACTACAAATTATTTGCAATAAACATCAAAAGAAGTATACATTTTTAAATAATTTGACATCACAGTTGACATCTTGATACTTGACAGCCACAGCCAAGCATTCTGATTTTTGCCAAATAAAATGGCCGCTTAATTATTCTATGGGGTTGCGACAGAGAGCCAGTAAATTTGATGAAGGTGTTTTTGTGGCTAGGGGCGACATAGTAGTACGCTTAAGTTAGCACCACCATAAAAAGTAATTTTTAAGAAATTGCTTATATATTTTTCATAAATTGGCAGGCTTGGCTACTAATTTCGAATAAAAATATCCTCCAAAATGGCTATGGTTGCAAGTATGAAGCTCGCAACCCGCCTTAGAAATTTTACCTTTCACTATCAACAGCTGTTGTTTGACAGGTCGTTAGAGAATGTTTGCAATTTATGGATTTTAAGAATGTTAGGAATGTTGACGTTAGAAATAATTGGAATTCCTAAAATTGTCACATAAGAAATGCATGTGCGGTTTTTAAGAAAATTGATATTAAAATAGTTAGGATGAAGCGAAAATTCTGAAAATCAATAGGGTTCTAAGTTAGAAGTAATTATTCAAGAAAATCAAAACCGCAAGTCAATCAGAACTCTCATTCTAGAGTTATCGTGCCGACATACGTACACACAGACGACCAGATGAATTTTTTTTTTGCATTTTCGGATTCAGAATGATCGGAAACAAAAGTTTTAAAAAATGGGGGTAAGAAAATTTTTCCGTCTGCACGAATGCAATACTGAGGCCCCATAGGAAGGGCCTCAGTAATTTAAAAAATTAATGGAACGAAACGATGATTATAAATAGGGGGGGAGTTAAGGGGGTTGAAATTTAAAAAAATCAAATCGAAAACGAAAAGTGATATCAAATTTTTAGTAAGCCCATTGATTCTGAAAAGAATATGAATAAAAATTAGGTTAAGGGGGGTTGAAATATTAAAAAAATTCTTACTCAAAAGCGATAAATGATATCAACTTGAAATTTTTAGGGAAAATAAAGCTCTGTAAGAGGCCTATTGATTTTAAAAAACATCCGAATATAAATTGAGGGATAAGGGGGGGAGGGTTGAAATAAAAAAAATACGTGTGGCAATCGGGGACTACCGTAGTAAAGCTATTGCATAACATTTTTTATCAACTTATGCAATTATAATTATTTATTTATTTTATTTATGCAGTATTTTTTTTTCTTTGATATTAATTCAAGTTACACTTTTTGAGTGTGGTGACCGATAAGAAAACAATTTTTTTGTTTTATTGAATAAATGAGAAGTTAATATTGTTTAAAATATTTTTTTTATCTTACAATACATGTAGGTTATTCAGGAATATTTATCATTGAAACTATAGGTTTATGGTAACTGAAATAAGAAACATAAGTTTGAGACTTGATATCCTCTAAATATCTGGAAAATACCGCGTCAATAGTGGTCCCATATTTTGTTGTGAATTCTTGTGGATAATTATTCATTTTCAATTTTTCCGAAATTGTGTCTAAAAGAGCTAGAATCAGTTATGAGCAGTTAGCAGCTAGTCTACACGCATACGTCTAGTCGCGTGCCGTGCCGAAGTGTGCCGAACTGAAACGACGTTAGATGATGCACGGCTTTCAACGCCGCACCGCTGTGCCGGTCGGAATGGGGGGGGGGGGGGGTGTTAGGTTTATTTTCATTACGGAATTTCTTTGTCGATTTTACGTTTTTTTGATTTTTCGAATTTTCGAGGGTGTTAGGTTTATTTTCGTTACGGAATATCTTGATTCGGTCGCCGCGCTCAAAGCCCGCGATAAAATCTATGCAATAGCTTAATGATGAAATAGTTAACACTGATAAAATAAAAATTAATATTTTATAAATCTTGCAAAAAAAATTAATATCTAATATTTACGCCAGCCGGGAACATTAATTTGTGATACCAATTTATTAGAAGCCAGAGAAAGCTCTTCTAGTTCTTGTATTGCATAAACGTTCCAGTCCGCAGACGTATATTTAACTCCGCTTCATACTAATACGAATGGGGTCGGATAAAACCTTCCACGGCTTTTAACGCCGCACCGCTGTGCCGGTCGGAGTGGGAGGTGTTAGGTTTATTTTCGTTACGGAATTTCTTGATTCGGTTGCCGCGTTCAAAGCCCGCGATAAAAGCTATGCAATAGCTTAAAAGAAAATAATTCCAACTCAAGTATGACCGAGATGTAAAATACATCATACAAATCTCAAAGCCATAGTCATAATATGTGCACGGCCGTTTCTCTTTTGACAACAGCTACTCCTTTGGCTAATACCTCACCAGGTATTGAATAACGTCAAAAGAAAAAAGCAGAGATACAAAATATTTTCAACACTCTACCTTTGATTTTTCCCACTAAGGAGAAAGTCATTCTTGGACGGGTTTTGTCCTTATTAGGACTCTTCAGCAAGAAATAGAAATTCTCAACTCCAGTTTCTAATGGAGTCTGATGGCAATATCAAATTCGATCGAGCACAATAACGGCGGGTTGAGCATGTGTAGATATTCAACGAGCGAAAATGGTATCTCCATCTATACTTATGTACTTACTATACTTATCTTGGTGGGCAAAATCAAAGGTAGAGTGTTGAAACTATTTTCTATCTCTGCTTTTTTCTTTTGACGTAATTCAATACCTGGTGAGGTATTAGCCAAAGGAGTAGTCGTTGTCAAAAGAGAAACGACCGCGCACATATTGTGACTTTGAGATTTGTTTGATGTATTTTACATTATTGTTTTTTCTGATCCTACACATACAGGTTAGCGAAAAAGTCTGGTAACAAGGTAGTTTAGGTTGATGAATGGGACTGTATTACATATAGTAATGTGATACTTTTTTAGTATTCTTGAAAATAAGAAAAAAATAAGCTTTTCTCTGATATATCACTCGACCTACGTTGCCATTTAAAAAAATTTAAGCTGACGGCGGTACGCTAAACGGTGAAATCAAATAAATTTGACATGTCCTCTAAAAAATGCAGAATATAATCCCATTCATCACCCTACAATTTCATAATTATACATTCATTCGTTTCAAATAAAATACATTGCCAGACTTCGCTACCCCATAGAAGTATTATTCATTTTAGTTTTAACTTTAGGGAAGAACTGGCATATGTTATGAAGACCTCATTTTTAAAAAATTAACACAATTTTAGTTACAAAATCCCACTTCTGAGACCATAAAGTAATGATTTATAACAAGACGATGTAGGTATTGACAAGTTGAATATATTGATGACAACTGCCTTTGATTACAAGTAAGTTGACTTTGTACAAGGTGGTAAGTTCATATTTATGTTACATTAGTTATTTTAGTAGATGTATTATCCCCAATGGAGATACGATTATTTATCTCTAAAGGTACTGAAAAAGAGTTTTGAATTATATTTCTACACACACCTGGATATTAGCTTATCTACGCACATACTACAAAACGAAAAAGTATGCCATTGCGTACAACTAAACGAATACGTTTCATGTCCATTCTACCTAGTAAGAATACACTGCAAAAAAATGAAATCTACCAATCATAGTTAAAAAACCCGCCGTTTTATAAAATGTCTAGACATTTTACAAAAGGCGGCCAGATTGTCAAATTCTAGTTTAACATTGATTATTTTTGTAGTATATATATGGATACCCGTTATTATTTCAAGTAAAATCATCTGACAACGTGGCAAATATATGAATGGTGAGCTATTAAGTGAGTGTATACCTATAGAAATGTGTGACTTCCTCATACTAATTTTAAGGGTTTGTTTTGGTTAAACAGAACCGTCCATTCCAGTTCTTAAATACAGTAGATTAATTAAGTTTTCAAGAACACGTTCGAGGTTATCTGAGGTTAGCTGATCGAGTGTAATTCAGTGATTCTAAACCAAAACACGCCTAAAAAGTAATATAAGACATTTGAGACCGCGCGTTAAGTGTAGCGATTACAATGTTGCCAAGTTATAATCATTGTACCCCCACTACGCGTCGACTGCTTTAAAAATATTTTTATTTTAAAAATCTATAGGTATCTTTTTACCAAAACGGTCAAAAAATTCAGCGTTTTTTTTTAGAAAATTTTATAACTTCTTAATTTACATTACATTAGTTTTTAAAAAATATAGTAAGAACCGTTTTCGAGATACCTTGAAATAAATGCATTGCTTGTGTATATGACATGCTTCAAGAGTGGTAATTATGCACATTTTGATTGTTAATATCTCGTTTCACAGACTGTCAAAAAATTTAATTTATTTTGTTTAGTTACTAAAAGACACTTTCATTATCTTTATAGTTTAATTTTATTGAATTCTTAGGAAAATTCGTTTTACGAGTGAACTATCAAATATTCCCGGGAATTTTACATACTGCATTCGGTAAAGTATACACGTCAAAAAGTTAAACTCTGACTACTAGGTCGAGTATACACACTATTCTTTTGTTCACATGATCTTGCGCGGTGAGCGGTGAGTTGTTTCGAGTGCGCAATCTCCTAAAGAGGCCGCTTTCGGCGCTGTGTTTTTCGTGCAAATCAGAAAAAACAAAATGGTGTCTACTTAATTCAATAATATTCTGCATTTAATGCATGATTGCAAACAATAAGCCGTTTTTCCATGCGGTAATTGCTAAACGGCAATGAGAGTGAACAAAATCCACTAAACGAAAATGCTTTGCTAAAGCACAGTTGAGGTAAGATCGTGGGAGGCATGGTGCATTCAGATATACAACATAAACGTAAATAAATACTGTTTACTTTTAGTACACATGTTTCAAAGGAAAACATGAAAGAAAGTTTGTTTTATAATTCAATTTAAAGCCTCTATTTTAGTATTTGTTAATGCTGAACTACGAAATTACATAATGTTCAATTGTTTATGCTTCTAAATAACCTTGTTCCAATTTACATCAGCATTTTTTTTCATTCAATATCAGCAGTTTTAACGAAATTTCATGTTTCAGGGTAATTTTTGAATTTGAAAAAACTAAAGAAAACGTAGAGATGAACGTGAACCTGTTGCATTGGCTATGTGGGGTGGGATTGCCGAATCGCTAGTTTAGCAAATCCTGTTTTTCTGCATTATGAGGGAAATGGTAGGAGGCTGTTGTGTTTGTTCTGATGATAGAGGCTGGTCTGAAAATCCACTTGTTTACTGCGATGGACAATCTTGTACTGTAGCTGTTCATCAAGGTATCTAGTTATTTCAATAGTTTTTTAAAAATATATGTAGACTTTAAAACAGTTTTGTTTGATATTCTTTTTGTATAACTATTGGCTATTTACTTGATATATCAACTTTTTAAGTGACTACATTCAATAACTGCAAAAAGTTGTGTTAAATAGCTCAATTTATTTTGTTCCTTGTAATTCTTATGGTTTTTTAGTTAGTAAGTTACCCCATACTACTATAATATGACCTAAAATTAATCTGCATGATTGTTATTAGTTTGCAAAAACAATCGCAAAGTGGCAACGACTGCTATTGAATGTAAAACATAATATGCTAGTTTAGTAATTAATCTGCATGATTGTTATTAGTTTGCAAAAACAATCGCAAAGTGGCAACGACTGCTATTGAATGTAAAACATAATATGCTAGTTTAGTGATGATGTAATTATGGTTCCACTGACAAACTGACTAGATTTTTTGAGTGTGTTTTGTTTCATTTTTGTACATATATATTCCTAAAGTAAGTAGATAACATGCATCAAATATACATTCGTTTAGTTACCAATTACATACCTTTAAACTCACCTTTAAACTATTTTTTATGACCTGTAAACTATATTTAGAAATAAACTAAAAACAGTAAAAACATATGTATATGTCAAATTTGTTGATGTTTTTGTTAAAAGTTTGGTTAGAATTAAATGTCAGTGGAACCAAAATGACATCACACTGAACTAGCATATTATTTTGAATTGCATTTGTTAGGGTGGTTGCCTAACTTGACATTTTTGTTCTTTGGTACCTGAGTTCAAAATGGAAATAAAATATCAAATAATGTCCAGTTCAAAAGAGAAACAACATATAAGAGTCTCTTCATGATAATAAATATTGATATTTCTTTTAAGAACAAAATTCTTTTCAGGTCTTCGTTCAAAACAGAAAAACTAAATGTTTCAAAAATCCCTTATTTTAAGTCATTTCTTTTTTGAACCGAAGTAGCGAAGTAATTCTATACAACATAGAGCATACAAACAAACTTTATTTAACACAATTCGAAAGCTGCATTTAAATGTTTTAATTCTTTATCTTTCTTATTTTTGAGTATTGTTGGAAAAGTTGTTTATTTTAATGATTTCTATTTTAAACAGTTGAAAAAAAGTATCAACTTAGGGATTTACCCTACATATAGATGGCATAGTAGGATATTAAGAGGCAATGTGATGTACAGGGTGTCTGATTAACATGTTGGCTGCCAAATATGACATTGTAGTTTGCATTCTTGGCTAACTCTGCTAACTAAGATTTATCTCATAGTTTGCTTACTATGAATAAATTCGTAGGGTTACATTTGACTTTAGGGACACACTGTTTGACCAGTTTTACTTTATTTTTTGAGTATGATTTTAACTCACCTTAGGTTTGGAAATATGAAAAAAAGTATAAATCAATTATATATTTTAAATAAATATTTTTTGAAAATAAGAAAAGTCTCATTAAATTTAACCTGAAACTTGAAAATTTTAATATTTGACATTACTTTTCTGGATAATGAGCGGGGTTGCCAAGATTAATTTATTACTTGTTACTATTTCGACCCGCAATATTTAAAAAACTAAGTAGTCTGGGTATTAACAGTATGACCGGGTAGCAGAGAATTTAGAGTGAACTTTTATGTTGAATGAGTCAAATAAAATGATTTTGTAACATTGTATTTTTAGAAATTACTCAAAAATGTCAGTAAGTTATAAAAATTTACAAAGGATTGCTGTTTAATTTTATAAACAATTGTATAAGCTGATATGAAGAGATATTATTCTTTGATCTGTGTTAGGGACTGGAGAGAGATGTTTGATACAGATTCTGGTATTTTATCAAAAAATTCTATTATTTTTATTTAAATAAACAAATCATAAAAGTATAATAATTTACGAGTTTACAAATTATTTATATCTTCTTACATATTAAAATACTTGGCAACCCTGTACACATAAGTCAAAATATTTGATTAAAAATGTGCAATTTTTGAGATTTTAATATTAAATTTCTCGCTTAATCATGGATAAGCTCCAAATTTTTTTTTATGTTCATGATATATAACTTCTCTACTTTCTAATAGTACAAAAAATATTTTGAAATTGGTGTGTCTTTTAAGTCGAATGTAACCAATTCGTAGTATATGAGGGTATTAAAAAATGACAAGTTGTATTTAGAAATATGTTTTTTTTTTTTTAAAACATGTCAAAGAAGGCAGCAGAACACCCAGGCAATTTTGAGTTGAAACCTATGTCATATTTTTAGTCTTTTTATAACATATTCTTTTTGAATATGCTCCTCTTTTTTGGAAAAAATCAAGATGCTCTGCTAGCTTAGAACGAAGTCTGCAGAGCACCTCAGTTTTTTAAGTTTTTTTCCAAAAACGACACTAACTTTTTAAGGTATTGAAATATTATAAAACTTTTTAAAAAAAAAATATTTTTTTTTTTAAATTACAGGGTACTTTGCTAGCTTCGAACGAATCCAGCATAGGACCTCGGTTTTTAAAGCCTTTCTTCTAAAAACAAAATTGCTACTTTTTAATATTACAGGGTGCTTTGTTCGAACGAAGCCAACATGACAAGGTTTTTCCAAAAAAGAACTAGGGCTCATTTAAGGCTATTTTTCAGCTCTTAAAATATTGTAAAACATTCCAAACAAAAAAATGCTATTTGTAAAAAAAATGCTAATTTTAGAACCAGCACCTCGATTTTTTTTTTTTTCTAAAAAACAAATCACACCATATTCATTTTTAGTTTATTTTTAGACTCTTGAAATATAAAATTTTCAGAAAAAAAATACTTAAACTAAGGTGCTCTGCTCACTTGTTCCAACAAACGCATGTATTATTTAAAAATAGCATTTTTTTAGTAAAGTTTATAATATTTCAAGAATCTAAAAATGTGGTGTGGTTGTTTTTTGGAAAAAAGATTTAAAAAACTGAGGTGCTCTGCTGGATTCGTTCGAGGCTAGCAAAGCACCGTATTTTTTAAAAAAATACAATTTTTTTTGAATAGTTTTATATTATTTCAAGAGCCTAAAAATGTTGTGTGATTGTTTCAGAAAAAAGCTGTAAAAAACAGGTGCTCTGCTGGATTCTTTCGAAGCTAGTGAATCACCCTGTATTTTTTAAAAAATACTATTTTTTTTTTTTTTTCGAAAATTTTTATAATATTTCAAGAGCCTAAAAATAGCTTTAAAATGTGACAAGTAATTTTCAGAAAAAAATTAATAAACCGACGTGCTCTAGCACCTGTATTTTTTTAAAATTACTATTTTTTTTAAAGTTTCATAATATTCCAAGAGCTTAAAAATAGCCTAAAACTTTGTTGTGGTTGTTTTTAGAAGAAGAAAAGGCTTTGAAAAATCGAGGTGCTCTGCTGGATTCGTTCGAAGCTAGCAAAACACCATCTATTTTTTAAAAATACAAATTTTTTTCGGAAAGTTTTATAATATTTTTCAAAAGCCTAAAACTGCGGTGTGGTTGTTTTTAGATAAAAAAAGCTTTAAAAAGCAGAGGTGCTCTGCTTGCTGACTTTGTTCCAACAAAGCACCCTGTATTATTTATAAATAGCATTTTTTTAATAAAGTTTCATAATATTTCAAAGGCCTAAAAATGCGGTGTGGTTGCTTTTAGAAAAAAAGTTTTAAAAACTGAGGTACTATTCTGGATTCGTTCAAAGCTAGCAAAGCACACTGTATTTTTTAAAAATAATTTAAAAAACTGAGATACTCTGTGTGGCTTAGTTCGAAGCTTGCAGAACACCTTGGTTATATATAAAAAGAGGAGCATATATTTTTTTAATGAGTTATAAAAACAGCCTATTAATATGGCATATGTTTTGACTCAAAATTCTGTACGTGCTCTACTGCCTTTTTTGGAATTGTGGCGACATTGTGATCCTCACATAATCTTACCTTTAGTTGTAAATTTCATGTCATTTCAGTTTAAGACTTTTAGGCTCAGAGTATCTAAGCTTTTAGGTCGATTTTATTTGAGATTAGTCAAGTGTCAATGTGGGGAACTGATGTCATAATTATGTTAAGCCTATGAAGACTAGAGAGAAGGAAGCGAATCGGCAATGGTCAAATTTCCTTCCTTTTTATAAAGTTTGCGAAATTGACTAGTTGGCATGTCAATTTTCTATGTAGGTCAATGTAAAATGAAGTGATTTTTTAAAAAATTGGTGAAAAAATCAAAATAATGTGAAAAAAAGTACCTGAATACAAGTAACATGAGTGACAAAAAACATAAAGGAAGATTTACGTCGTTTCAGATTGTAAAATAGGATAAAAATCAAATGTAAAACTAAAGAAAATGCAAGAAGAAATCAATTCAATGACTTTTTAAATCTTCTAATGTAAATAAAATAATGTATTCATGTCTAAATGTAATATTTAATCTAAACTAGCACAATATGTATCATACGAAGTGTAGTTTATTTTATTACAAGTTTCTATAATATAAAATTTTACAGTTATAGATGCTGACTTACAAATAACAATAATTATGTATTAAATTTAACTTACTAGAAAAGAAAATTTATTTTTTATAGAGTTTTAATGTTAGATAAAGAGTTGCTACTTTTATTTTTTTTTGACCCCAATTGTGTCATTGTAAATGTTTTTTATAAGATACTAAACGTTTAGAACAGTGGCAGCATATATATATCGTTTCTCCTACCGATAAAGCACTTTCTAGAGATGATGATGTTCTACACTTTTTAGAAGATATCAAATATTATGAGACTATTTTTATTGATGATACTGTTAGCAAAATAAAAAGGGGAAAGCTGAAATTAAAGGATGAGGTAATACCATGTACAATGTACATTCCCAAATCTCCCTTTATACTTGTATTACAACAATAAAAATCTATTAACTGTGTTTTATTTTACTCTTAAAACTATATATTGGTTCAATTCAAAAAAAAAATTTGCCACAAAATTGTACTTATCAAATTTCAGCATTTAAGAAACCTTTTCGA